CAATAATTATACACCCCCGTGCTCAATGAGGCCTGGCTGTTAACTTAAGATAATTGCCGATTTCCCTTGCAACTTTTATAGAAAGTCATTTTCCTAAATGGACTATGAAGGCGAGAGCAATAAAATTACGAGAAGCGCGTGCAACAGTTTGACACTCGGCGCGACTCACACATCTGTTGAAGCATGACCCAACACAATATTAAAATAACGTTTGTGTATGTATGTACGTTTATAGTACTTGCCCGGCGCACAAGAAGAAGAATGGACGCGAGAACGCAAGATGTTCTCCTTTTCAGCATCAACAACAATATAAATGGCTGATTAGCCTTTTGAAAAGCGTGCCGAGCTGCAATAAATAATAACTGCACATGGCGCGTTTATCCTCCACACATTCATTTTTCTCTCGCTATATAGAATAAAATTTGTGCCTGTACATTTTTCTCACCATATTTCTTTTCCGATCAATACTGGTTTTTATGAGCGAATTTTACGATTTTCCTCAAGAGTCTCCCGCCGAGAGAGTTTACCGACAAAAATTACTCTAAGTACTAGAAATGGACTGCAAGGAAATTGTTTCTTGCTAAAGAGCCGTTCTTTGTTTTAGGTCACCTGTTGGAAGCGGCTCGGTTGTTATTATTTATATTGCAGGCACGTATGCTAGTCAGGGTGCGACCTGCCGAACCGCACCTGACGCGCATCGCCATCCCCCTCCGTCTTTGTTTAAAGCCGTTCTATTATTTATCCAACGCCACGAAATTTTCGTAATAAAGCTTCATCTGATATGCACACTTTCCCAGCTCCACCGTGAAATTCTGATCGCTATCGCCGTCTTGTGTTTCCACAAATATTTCCCATTTGCTTAGGGGGACGACGCGGAAAATTTCAAACAAAGGGAAAAACGCGGACTGTGTTTCAGCAACCAGGGGTGCCTCAGACTCGATTTTGAAGGCAGAAATTTAAATGCGTGTGACAAGTTGATGAGCGTGAAATTCGTTGCTTGCCGCGCGAAAGCATGGGGTTCCATTTAGAATTGGACAATAATAGACTGCCTATGCATCGGTTGCGGAAAGAAAGGGTTGTCTAGCAGGCCCACAATCGATTTTCAATTTGATTTTCGATTATGTTTATCTAAGAGTTGCATTTTCTCACGAACGTGCACATGAGAAAATCGGAGAAAAATTCACACCCGTTTAAGTTATTTAAATAAAATATATTTGATTTCTTCATGAATTTTTTTAATTATAATTATTATTGGAAATATTTGGAAATAATTAACGATTTAGGTGACTTTGTTACAAAACACGTGATTAAAAACACGTTAGGCGTATTATTCAAATTGAAAAGCCACAGATCAAAGAAGTCGAACACAGCAGCTGTGATTAATGCATTCATTAAACACGCGTAATCCAAGCAGTGGCGGCGGAGTTAAGTAAGTCTTGAGAATGCAAATGAGTTGAAATCCGGCGTCGTGTCAAAGACATTTTCACAACTTATTCGTTTATTTATTTATATTTATCCACCGCAGAGCAGCCGCACGCGCTTTTCATGTCTTTCTTCGATATATTTGCTTATTCATCGAAAATCAAAGGGTGAAAAGAGAGAAAGAAAGAAAGACCAGTCGGAGAAAAAATTTATATCTGAAAGAAATCCGGCCGCTAAACAAGTAGCGGCGTTTGAAGCTGTTTGCGGTTAATTGCGTGCTTCTTTTTGGACGCAATATTTATTTTGAATGTGTGACAAGACTCGGCCAGCAACACGCGATAGTCAAAAGAACTAGCGAAAACTGCTCCGTTGAGAGCGAGAGGGACTCGAAAGGCAGCGAAAAAGAGCACCTGGCCATTAATTTATACGCGCGCCTCCTACTCGGCTAACTGCCGCGGCCGCGATTTGCGCGAGCAAAGGGCAGGTTTCATTGAGTGCACGGAACAGGTCGGGGTGACCGGCGAGAAGTGGCCAATTGCGCCAAATGCGACCATCATTAAAAATCAATTACAACCACATAAGAGCTGTCGGGGAAGGATAATTTCATTCAAAACAGAATAGAAAATTAATTCATTTATTTATAGTATTGGTGTGAAATTTATCACTCTTTTTCATAAAAAAAAATTAAGAGATTTTTTCCTCAAATTTTAAGTATTAATTTAATTTTTTTATAAAAAAGAAAAATACATGTATTAAATTAAAATAAAAACTAATAAAATCCGTTCTTTTTAAATTATTAAATGTATTAACCTAGTAAGTATCAAAATTTTTGTCGTAATAAAATTTGACCGTTGCATTATTTGTCACAGTGCAACGATCAACATGCGATAAAACGGCAATCACTTTTCGCCACACACAATGGAAATGCACGTAGCAAATAATAATCAAGCGAATCGATAGGCAAATTAAAAAGGATGATTCTCAAGTGGCCATTCAAATTGATAGGGGCGCATTCACCATTTATAAGTTCTATTTGTATATTTACAAGCGCGCGCGTCAAAAAAGAGGAAATAGTCGTGTTTGCACGCGGGGAAACACGCATCATTTGACGACGCCGAGCTGACACTGATGATGGGGGTTGCGAATTCATTCCGCGTGTTGTAAATCCCTCGCTCGCGCATCAGCATCATTAATCAAATACACGGGGAGATGCTGGTAGATGAAGGTGCCGAACTCTTCATCTTGATCGCGAACATGAGGACATCATCAAAAGAGTGATGTGGCAAAAAATACACGTGAGAGAGCACGGCCAAATGTGGGCTCCTTTGTGGTTTTGACAAGATCATTTCCCTGGATGAATTTCTGGCAATTTTTTAGAATGATTTTCACAAAAAGCGGCAACTTCTTGACAGATCCTTTAAGCGCAGAAAAAAAGTATGATTTATTAAAATAATAATAAGGGAGGGAAAATTTTTTAAACCATTTGAAATGTTAAGTTCAAAAAAATTGCTCTAATTTTTTACATTTCAATCACCCTTCCCGTAACATTGACATTTATAAATTACTGCTGGACACGATTTCACCTCCTGTTAATTTTTTGAAAAACGACATCAGTTTCAGTCCACCGCATCTAATTCAGAAAATAAACTTTTGTGACCGAATGTCATACTTTTGCTGATGCTGTCATTAGGGAAAATTTATTGCCTGTCGCAATTCGCGGCACAACTCAATCGTGAAATTACATCCCAGGAACAAAGCGCCCGAACGGCGAACCGATGCAAACAAAGAAATTCCGAGCGAAAGGGGTTGCATTTGCGCGACAGACATTCCCTCCCTGCAGTGCTCCTTTCTGTATCATTACTCTAGATAATTTGCCTGCGTAATAGTAATTTGATATCAAGCTCCGCCTCCTGTTCTTTTCCAACAAAAGTCGGTTGCCAAACAAACAAATTTACTTCTTACCAGAAAACCCGCCCCGCGCACGTGCGTATGTATTAATTACAATTAGGAAAGCGCGGTCTAATCGATAGTTCCGATCTTCGTGTTGAAAGGACGCGCCGTTTTTTTTTTTACAACTTTAAGTGAAAATTAAACCGTCCGAGAGACACACGTGTTTGAAGATTTGCGTGACTAGCTCGAGCACTCTATTATCGCGTTTTATTGTTTCAATTACTTTTGTCGGTGTGCGCGACCGGTGCGTTTTTCCAGCAGCAGTGCGGGTAATATCAATTCATTTGCACCCCCACACGTGCTTCGGAAGGGTGCGTGGAAGCCGATTTCCTGTGCTGACCGGTCGAGTGACGCGGCGTGAAATTTTAATTACGGGCTCTTTTTATTGAAAAACGTTAAATTAAAATTGGTATACAATAAATCTCGACCTTTTGTGGAATAATTGCTATCGGGTCACCAACCGATACTTTTATGATACGTGAGAAACAAAAAACGGTAAAGAGAAATTAAATTATTAATAAGTGTCGGAAGTAACATCATAATATTTTTAATTAGTATAATATAAAAGTGAAAAATAGATGTGATGCAAAAAAGGACGATAGAGATATCAAGAATCAAAATCTCAAATTGAGATTTCTATAAAAATTGTACCCCTCTATTCCGAGCGTGCTGAAAATTGCTACGTATAATTTGCAAACAATCCTAATCAAATAACACACGGTTGATCAAATTACAGACCAATTTGGCGGATGGCCGTGAAAATCGTTTGCCGTTTGGCTATAGTCAGATGTTGTGGATTTTGATATAATTTCGCTTCCATATTGTAATCGTTAGATGAAGCCGCAAGAAAATCGAACAGCTGCCTCTTGAGCAGCTAATTTTATATTTGCAGCCGCGAATACATTAAGATTATAAAACTTGGCTCAGCAACTGGTGCTGCGTCTGATTGCAACATCCCGAAGTTTGTCTGCCTAACGTGGCAATAATTCAAATTATAAATGGAAATAAGAAATGAAGTATTAAAAACAAAAATTATTTTCCTAAATGGAACATAAGAAAGTTTGAATGTTATTATGCATTAATTAAAATGGATTTAAGTAATTATTTATCTCCCGACTATAATAGACGCAGTATTGATTGTTAAACCAAAATTAACCAAATCAATAAATATGATTAAATTTAATTTGAATTTGCGTGGCATAATTTAATTTCAACAATAGAGATATTGTCAATGAATCACAATCACTGCTATACTATAATAAATTAATTTCCTTACAAAAATATAATTATTTATACAAACAAAATAAACTTTTTACAAGACTTTAATAAGCAAAAATTTAAAAGAAAGAGGTGTTAAAATTATATTATATAAATAATAATACTATATTAAATTTTTGCCACTGGCTTAGGAGTAGAATTGTAATTTAAAAAAAAAAAAATTATTGTCAACTTAACGTTCTCGACTGGGCATTTCGCGCCAAGCTGCCAGTTTTTATTTTTTTTTTATCGCGAGCCCAAATCGTCGTGCATTAATTCAGCAGCGGCAAGGTCATGCCCAAAATCGTCCTTACCGGCTTCAAGAAAGCTTCGAAATCCACCAAAATTGTCAAAATGACACCGGGGCCTACCTGAGTGGAAGGTCGCAGGGGCAGCGGGAAACTAATCCAGAGCCATCGGCGTGCCGAAAGAGTAGTCCTAGCGTGCTTGGCGAAATTTTCGGCAACAAACAACGATCAGCGGGCGAGCGAGCAGAGGTGTTCGTTTCTGGCGCACGGCCGCAACAATAATAAATAACACGTACCTGGGTCGGTCGGTCGGCGGGTCTGCGGCGCGAGAGGCACGGCCACGTTGCCACGTCTCGCTCCACCTCTCTAGGTAGACCGCTCGCACCTGTACTTTTCCAAGGTGGACGGCCAACCGACAGAGGGCTCGGTCGCTTCCACCGGGAAAAGTGGCAAGCTAAATTCCTCCTTCGGGATCTACTTCTATTTCTTTTGTTCCGCGTTTGGGCCGCGCGAGCAGAGAGAGTTGTTGATAAATGAAGGAGGAGCGGAGCGCGCCTCTTGAGAACTATTTTGATGATGCTAATGAAAGATGACCACCCTGGGAGTTCTCTTTCTTTTCCTCCGTATCATGCTCCGAGTGTTGACCCGCCTGTCGTCGGGAATTTTAAGGACTGCAACATGCAAATGAGATGCATGGACGGAAATTTAAAGGAAATAGTCTTATTTTTCATTCCTAATAGATAATCATTTTAACTTTAATGAGATTAAATTGAACAAGAATAAACAAAAAACGGTAATGTGAAAATACTTATTAAATAAACACACCAAAATATTTTGTTTGGTGTCTCTGATAAATTATATATTATCTAAAAGCTTTTGATTGCTTTTAATTATTTTAATTCTATATCCTTCCTTTAGATTCTGTTGAAAATTAATATTATTTAATGATGATCAATATCCTAAAATTTAATTTGGCTAGACGTGCAAACTTTGAACAAACTAACTTTTTCCATAAATTTGTATTCATAGGAAAATAAGTTGAATTTTCTGTTTAAAGTGTAGTAAAGCAATCTATGTATTATTTAATTAAAACAGTTGTAACTTTTTAAATAAAAGCCAAAATAAATTTTTTGCCTTAACAAATGCAAAGTTACAGCATATTAATTTATTATTTGAAAAATAAACATATTAAAACTGAAAAATATTATGCATGTGCATGAAAAATACCTAAAGAAGGTAACAAGGTTAATAACAACAAAGGTTAAAATTTTCCATTGATAATTTATAAATTCGGCTAACAAAAATACAATCTTTTTTTACTTGAAGAAAATTTAACGCTAAGGAAAAATTGCAGTAAATTTTGTATGCTTTATAAATTTTCTCACTGACAAGTATGTTTAAAAAAAATTGTAGCCAAATGGCAAAAATAATTATAAAAAAATGAGTTAGCTTCAATATAATTATTTAATCGTATTATCGCGTAATCTATTCAGATAATTCAATGAAAAAGAAAAAAAGGCATTTTTTTATACTCAAATAATTTCATCTGCTTTTTCTCTCTCCATATTTTCTTACTTCTCACAGGGAGTTACCCTAAATATTTGCGTGTATTTCCAACGCTTGTTGGTGATACAAAAGCTGCGGCAAACAAATTTTTCTTGCTCTTTAATGCGGTGTGGGAACCGCGCAAAATCGTGCACACAAAGCTTGTCTTTCACATGAGAAAAGAAGAGCATGTGTTGTACGAATGTGCAGTGGACAAGCGAAAAACGGAACAGACAACAAAAGCCGCTGCACTTTTCCTTTCAGCAAAAATTGCACGGGACTTTTTTGCACTACTCTGCAGTCTGTCAAAGTAATGAGGGCAAGGAAATAATCTGGTGCAGATGCTGGAGCAAAAGAAAACGCGACTTGCTCCACCCGAGTGGGCACGTAACGCGATTAGCGCTTTTCTTTTTGTGAACCCAGATAGAAAGAGAGCTCGGCGACAATGAGAAAACGTCACTTTTATACGCAACACTTGCATTCTTCACCAAAGGTATTGTCGATTCAGCTCATGCATCCGGTCCCAAATCCACAAATACACACACGTGGAGCAAAAATTTCCAACCGAAAGCCGCGGTGGATTTTCAAGGATTGCACGTGTGGCGGCGTGGAAAATATAAAAATAGACTTTCAATGACCGCGCGTGGTTTTTATACTTTTTGAGAGCAAAAGGTGGAGGAGAGCAATGAATGGCCTGGTGATATACCTCAGGTGACGCGAAGCATGTCATCCAAGTGATGCATTGTTGCATCTGGACACAAAAGTCAGGGTATACCAAATTCCTAAATTTTCATGCTTTTGCCGGTGAAAAGGAATTTTAAATTTTACGGTACAAGACGGTTGGAGAAATAAATCAAATGAGGTAAAATTTTAAACGAGTCACACTAAAAAAGAAAGTAAAAAAATTACCCAAAAGTATTTTTGTATTTTAAAATCTTTTTAGTTTCTCTTGCCAATAAATTTTATATTATTTGTCTTTTTTTCTCCTCATAATATTTATTATTTCAACAGCAAAAATTTGAGAGAGTTCGTTGAAAATCTTCATTCAATTTTAGGATAGGACCACCATGATGCAATATGAAACGTTAAAGCTTTTATTTATTTCTGTTGTTTTTTATATAGAAAAAAAATCAGTATATGTATCATCACATCGACATAAAACGTACCAAAATCTGATGAACATGGCATAAAAAAAAATCAACTACATTGCAACTATTTAAACACGGTTTGAAAATCACGAGTCGTAAATTTCAAAGCACCAATGCTCCTTAGATGGCTTATTTGTGTAATTTAATAAATTTATTATCAAAAATAACTGTCCCCTGGGCTCGTCAACTTGGGTCCCTTGAAATTTTTTCATTTAATTTTTTTTCAATGCAGCGTATACAGACGAGGAAAAAGTGTCACTGTTGTTTGCTCACGCTAAAAAAGTGCATGTGCTGCGCCAGCACTTCAAAAAATGGTTTAAAACTCATAAAGTAAGACAGTAATGCGCTAAACATGTCACGCAGTTCGATGACAGGCCCAATTCCGGGGAGATGCTGCGCGCGGTTTCAAAAAGATTACGCTTCCCATCTCGGAACGCTCGCTGAGAGAGAAACGAGCGAGGAAGAGCAGTGATGTGAAAAAAGGTGCTTCTGCAGGGGTATCATCCCCAGAAGAGATTAAACACGGGGGGACAGCATTCTGTTTTTTCTTGCGTCGCTTGTGGGGTCAGCCGCGCAAGAGCAGCTGGTTTCAGAAAATGTGCCCGTCCAAGAATAAGAAGAACGAGCGAGCGACCCCTCTTTCATACAAATAATAATACACGCAACATGCAAAAATGCGCTCAAAATCCAACTGAAATAACCTCCAGATACACACAGCTTTTCGGTTGATGGAAATTAATTTACGTCACGATAAGGCCAATAGTATAAGTTAAAAATTAAATTTATCTTAAAGAACCACGTTTATACGGTTTATACTTTTCATTTCTTTAAATATTTTAAAATTCACGTCAATAATAAATTGATAAATTTAAAGATTTTATTTTTTATAATTATTTCAGTTTCTTTTTAAGTACACGTTGCATAATAAAATCAATAACATAGTAAATTTATGAATTAATATACACCAATCGTGACATTTTATTTTAACCATTTTTTAAATTCTCAATTTTATATTTAATTTAATTTGATCAACTAATAAAAATTACATTAAATTTATAAATATAGTAAAAATTTTAAAATAATGCATTTTATTTGTTGAAAAATAAAATAAAACCACGAACGCCTATTGTCCTTTTTTACAGTTTCTACAGTTCTGAAGTTGATATTAAACTTTTAAATCATTAATTGCGTTCAAAGGAAAACAAAAATATTTTTGGATTAAAATCCCAGATCCTAAATCATTGCACACAGTTCGCAAAGAAGATTCTCCCCACGGGACACCCGTAGGCACGTCGCTCTTGAAATTATAATTTACTCGCCCCTCAATGAGCCACGCCGAGCTCTTTGACATTAAATTGAAAATATAATTTAGTCACAGGCGCTCGTAAATTTGGCCAAAATCAATAGCCAAGGGACAGGCGAGAGGCATAAAAATTCTTTTTTGGTGCGTTTTTGACAAAAACGCCGCGCTCTGCCTCAATGCACGTTAGTCACACTTCTCCGTCGTAAATTTCGGAATTAACGAGTTGTGTACACAGGAAGAAAAGAGAAAAGCCGAATTTATGGCTCGGAAAGTGCGCGACCGTCGGAAATTAAGTTGCACAAAGATTTCGAGAATATTGCGGCTGGACATCTGCATTATTATTTGTATTGAGAAGAAGAAAAGAAGCATCGTTGGGAAATGGAAATGAGAGTCGGCGAGAAATGTCACTTGGCAATGTCAATAAAAAAATCCCATAAAACTCACGGTGACCAATTTACGAAAGGAGCGAAAATTCATGCTGGTCATCCCTTAATAACAATTTATTGAGTAACGAATTTTGGATGTGGGGTTTTTATTATGCCAAACTTGCACAATAGGTTGTTTTAAGGAAATATTCAGTGTGAATTTGATGTGCTAATAAAGCTATTATTTAGGAAAAGGGCATAAAAAAGATGTAAAATTTTTATGTTGATGTGATGACTTAATTAGAATTAGCAGCTCATCTTATTTCAGAGCCAGATTTTTATTATATTACTGCCATTGGAGTTAAAAAAAAAAATGAAAAACAGATTTCTGATATGGGAAAACTCTTTGAGAAAATTATAAAAAAAAAAATTTAACAAAATAATTCACGCTGAGCAGGTGCAGGTGTCCTGTCCGTTGGTGACTTTCCTTGAGTGAATTGCATACAAGCTAAGCTAGGTAGTTAAAAAACGAACGCATTCAAAATAGATCAGAGATTTATCACGGCAAAGTTAATCGCATGCAGCTTGAGAAAATTAAGCATAAACAATACAATAAGATTGCATGTCAACTGGGAATTAAAAATATAGAGGCGTTTAATAATTAAGGTAAAAAAATCGCGAGCAACCCCGGCGTCTTGGTATAAAACTATGAAGAAACACGAGGGAGACGTTGTAAAGAGATTTCATCGCGATAAAGACGCCGAGGGAAAACACTCTAGGCGCTCTTAATTGCCGTTTCCCCATTTCCACAGAATGAAAAAAGGACACCCTCTTTATATAATATAGTAAGTGACAGTTTTTAAATGCCGCCCGGCAGATTCTCACGCTCGTAAAATTAATTGCATTTATTGTTTCCCACTTTTTCTCATCTCTTTAATTTATTTGTGTATATACTGAGAGGCTCCATTGAAGGGGTTAAAAAATATCTAGACAGAAATAACTTATTTACACTGGCCGAGAAACATTTTCAGCAGCAAAAAAATCACCGTCCTTGGCACTCTCTGAAGAAGAAAACGCAATTTAAATTGATTTATGTGGCACTCGCTTTCATAAACAAAGAGAGGGGAATTCCGTTCCGTCCGACCAGCAATGATGGATTGCGTTAAAAAGTGTGAATACCAATTACAGTGAGCCACTTTTTTTTCTCAAAGAGACTTGTGACTGGAAAACAATAAGGAAGCTGTTGCAATTCGAGATGCTGGGCTTACAAAAACTAGGTTGAATTATGATTTCCTCTTTCTTATTAAGTCATAAAAAAATTATATATTAATGCACATCAGTTTTAAAACTTCAGTGAACTTGGATGATAATTACAGAGCCATAAATATAGTCCTTCAAACTGACAATAGGGGAGAATTTTTTAAGAAATGCAATTAGTAATATAACTGTTAATTTCAACTGAATTAATTGATTTATAAAAATATGATAAAATAAAAAGCAGAACAAATTTTATCAAAAAAAAAAAAAAAAAAATATATTTGTATTGGCCAAGAAGAGTAAATAGTAATATAATAATTAAGGAATGTGCAAGGATTAAAAATTGTTCTGTGCAATGTGTCATTTATTTAAAGAACCTAATTTTTTTTTCAATTTTAAAATTTAAAATTTTTTTTTCAGTGAATTTAGAAGAAAATAATCAAAATAATAAAATAAATTCATGAAACAGTCTATACAATTTTGAAACTTTTTTCTTTTTGATTGAAATTGAAATTAGCGTCTAAAGTCTTTGCAATGAAATACCAATTTAATAAATTATTAAAATAAAATATACCGTTTTAAATCATTTTTTGAGATCCCATCATGCTGCGTGGTGTTGTAAAAAGTTGCACATACTATCCATATTCTATCGTCTCCTCTCGAAAGACGAAACTGCGCTGTTTTTTCCTTTTCTTTTAGGGTGCATAATTTCAGCATTCAATATAAAACCCAGCATGGCTTCATCATCTGCAAGGGAAGCATTTCATGCAATAAAAAATAATGCTCCCCAGAACAGAGAGGAAGCACCTCTTTTTAATAGTTTTGAACGTAATTTAATACACAAAAGCGTCTTCTGCATAAAACTCAAAACCGCAAACCTTTTCGGCGATCGATGAAGCGCGTCAAGTTTTTTGCCCATCCATCTTTGCGACAGACCATAATTACACAGCGAAATTCAACATAACCCTTTCGCGAGCAAACGAGCGTATCGCGTAAAAAAGCCGCTGATCCATGGAGCGAGGAAATAATAACCGCTTTAATGACTGCCATAAGAAAAATTAAAATAAACGCCAACCCCTTCCGAAATTGATCTTTAATGCACGAAACCGCGCGCGTTAAATAGGTTCAGTCAAGTCAGAAATATGAGAAGCAGAAAATAATGCAGCAAATGCTCGTGGTGAATGATCTTTTTCTCTCTAATACCCATGCACTGAATAAGTTAAGGGAGATGTGCGCCGCGGGGATGCTGATTTCGGTCGTTGCATATAAAGAATCAACAACCCTTGACCGCGATATTTATTGACATAATTATAAGCGCACGCATGCATTATTTGATGCGGAGAGCGTAAATAAACGGCAAGAGTGCATCAAAGAGAAAAGGGCCGTGCAAAAAGTTCAATTTCAGATCAATTCTAAATTTACCATAAAGACGAAATTCTTCTCTCTCTCCCAATGCGAAAATGTTTTTCAAAAATTTACAAAGAAACCTAGTATGGACTATAATTAAGAAAAACTTTAAAAAATTCAAAATCTAGTTTTAACCAATATTGAATGATTTTGAATTATATTTTACATTGTATTTTTTTAGGTGGAAGAGTTTAAGGAGCTGTTTTTTTTTCACACCAAAATTGAACAGTTTAATTAAAAAAAAAACTTCCAAAATTGGTGTTTTTTGACGAAAAATATTGTTATCGTTGTTTATTTGTCCACATTGTTTCCAATTGTTTTAATGCATTGTTTTCATTCAATTGTTGAAAACAATTTATAGCGTAATTTAATAATTCATAGAGCATTTTCGTTTTTATATATCACATATTTCACATGTATTTTGTTCATAATTATTCCTATTTTGTTAAATAAAAATTATGTAAAAATAAAATTCATGTCATGACTAGCACATGAAAAAAAAAAAATCATTCAATTTTTATTTATCACTGCCCCTGCTTATGAACCCTTTCAATTTCTTAGCTCTCTTGACGGAAGAATACATTTCAAGAGGCAATAATATTTGATGGCTGAAAGAATGGAAAGTCAGTGAAGCGAGCTCTGATAATATTAATTCCAAAATATGATTTTCTAATCTGCAGTCGAGTCTGTGCGCGCCCGTTTGTACCGTACCACATACGTGTTCGTCTGAATGGAGCGTGTTCGCGTTTTTTGTCGCTCGTCGGCAGATATTTTTTCAGGCGCTCCGAAAAGGTGCACGCTGCGTTATATATTTTCTTGTTGAAAAGGATTTCGCATGCGGCATTTGATATAATTTACATACAGAGTTGATTGAATGATCGTTTTACGTTCAGCCGTTTAGTCGCGCACAATGCAGCCGCCGCCGCGAGTGCCGACTTGGCTCTTTTTTCTATACTGCGCTGCTGGATGTTTCAAGACATTGTACCAAACGTCGATCTCTCTAATAAGGGTGAAAACCCCGCTCGCGCAGGGGCGTCTTTTGCTCTCAGTGCAGTTATGACTCGCGAGCAAAAAATAAATAAAAATTCTGCCAGTGCTTTTATTTATTTTCATTTGGTTTGTTTCTCTAACTCCAACCTCCTGTCAGAAAGGGCACTGTGCAAGTTCAACGTTAATAACCACGTGGCGTTGAAAGTATTATTAATAAACTGTTTTCATGCTTAACTTTTTTATTATAAGTGATTATAAGTATTTGCTTTGTATTATGAGCACATTTATGTCAAACAAATTCAATCGTGATTATTATAATATTTCTTTTTTTTTTAACAATTTTTGGTACACTTTACTATTGCATGTTATTACAAATCATGAAAATGCAAAATATTATAAAAGACTTTTTTTTTATTTATTTTTAGTTATTAAAGATCTCTTATCTATGATATAATGGCTGGATACGGTGATATCAATAAAAAAACACACACACAAAAGTGATATATTATATGTTGGCAAAAAATGTTCGATACCGTTATAATGAAAAAAATCAATTAATAATGAATCTAAGCAACAGACACAAAAATCTAAGAAATATGACGAAAAAATATGTTTATTATATTATCAATAGTAGCATTTTCAATTTATTCTATTTTCTTTTTAAATAATTTTTGTTCTTTTTTTATCAGGTCACAATTATTTGTATTAATAAATTTATTAAATGCTTATTTTACTTGAGAATTATGAACCGTCACTGGTGTCACTGTGAATACTGCAATTTAATAAAAAATTGCATTGCACTCCATATTTAAAAAAATTAGTAGAATTTTTTTATCTGGAGAATATTTGAGAATTACTAAAAAAAGCTTCTAAACTAGCTCATCATGGATACAAAGTATTATTACATTATTTTTTTTAAATGTAATTTTTTAGGAATACATATAATTATTTTGGAATGTTATTTTTGAATGAAATATCTGGCATAATAAGTTTTACGTATATAATTATTTAAATTATTCATTAAAAATTTTTTTAATAAAATTTTAATTTATTTGAGGTTATATATATGTTCATCTGATGCTCAAATGCTAAATTAGCTTATGGGAATTGCGCTGGTGCTAACTTAGCATGTTCCTACATCCCCCATTATATTTTAGCCAACACATTTTACCAAACTCTTATTTTATCATAATTTAATTAAATAAATCTGCAGCACTGCAAGAATTTTTGCCTTTTTGTTTTTAATATTATTAAGTTTGATCAAAATATGAATAATAGCTAGTCACCAAGTATTTAATTACTCTAAACCCGCTGCTGAGAGCTAATAATGAATTAATTGCATTGTAATGATAATGAGCTAATGAAATAATCGGAAATAATATTTAATAGAAATAAAATATAACAATTGAAGCTTTTCGTTTTATTGAAGGTTTAAGTGGAACTAGAAAGTCTTTCGTCTTTCATTGGGAGAAAGAATTTCAGCTAAATGCACAATCTCATGATAAATGTGTATTAAAATTATTGGGCTAAATTTTAAAATTTTTATAAATAGGTAATAAAGACATGTCGTTCTAGTCTATTAATAAAAAATTGGATTAATTTAAGAAAAATAAACAGCGCAAAAATATTTAAATTTTTTAACATGTATAGTTTACATAGTTTTTCTTTTTCATTTAGATATTGCACATTTATTTTTAAAATTAAATATCTTAACTGATTGAGCGAATTCCAAAATTACTCCTTTATATACTATGACGGGGGGAAAATTAATAATTGTTAATAATATTGCACCGTCAAAATGCGCGATGCCCAAATGCGTTGCCCTCCCTTTCAATTTTAAATTCCAGGTAGCGTACGCTATCTTTAGACGACTACCGCTAGCTGGCAGCACCACTTAAGTGATTAGCTTCTTTAGGATAAAAATAAAATATTTAATGGACATGACAGGTAGTGCCCTCTTTGATATACCGCCACTTCGTTCCTCATAAACAAGTGCGCATTATTTATAAATAAAAAGAAAAAAATGGGAATTATTTGAAAATAAATATGAATATGAAACTAAAAAAAAGTAAAAGTGGAGAGGCATCGGGGACACTCGAAAGCGAGAAGATTATAACTGATTAAGGGCTCAAGGTCGTTGCGTGAGGAAAGAAGAAGAGCGGCCGGCTGTGCTGTGTTTGTGCCAGAGAGCTTTGGTCGAGTTGAGGCAAAAGCAGTGCAGCAACTGCAGCACCAGCTGAACGGAGGAAGGAGTACAACTGCCGTGACGCGAGGCCGCTTTTCTGCAGTTTCGGCACTCCGATGGCATCGGCCAGAAAGCGCAGGGTAAGATTCAGAAAAATTGTGCGAACAGAGTCCGATTGATGCGTCCCAGCGTGTCCCGGGAGCACACGACAGACTGTCAACCACTGCTGGAGGTGAATTAAATTGATTTCGAGTGCAAAGATCCTGTGCGTTTCCTTGCTATGCGAAGACCAACACAACACAGCCTGCTGTACCCAAATGTTTGCTTGATAATAACTTTGATAATACGAACCGCTCGATTAGCAGGCCCACTGAATCTATTCTTCCTCGCTTAAAATTAACATTCCCTGGTCGTCTCTCTATTAAATAAATAACAAACCGCTAAAAGCTGCTACAATTGTAGGATTAAATCTGCAGAGTTGCAGACCCCAAACACGTTTTGTTGATTTATGTACCTTAAACATAACTATGTAATTCATTAACATTTTTTTTTGTTTGGTGGAATTGCCATGTCATGCTTTTGCGAGATAAAATTTTTGATGGTGTGGCTCGCCTTTTATTTATACATATATGAGCAGCTGCAGCCGGAGGTGGCATTATTTAAAAAGCCTACGTGTGTCATTTTCAGAAAATTTGTGCCAATTCAGTTATGTTTTGCAAGCACTAAAAGTGCATTTTATTGACAGGTCAATAAATTATTTAATTAATTTATGTTCAAAACACGTTGATTTGTCACTCTTGAATGGAGCAAGCACTCAAATGATAATATTGTGTCAGAGTGGACATTTTTTTAAATGTTTTAATAATATGCAATTAATTATTTTATTAATATTAATTTTTTTTTTTAATTTACAGGTGGGAGACGACAATGATACTCCTGCCAGTATGCCGCCCCGGCTGAGGAAAATTTCGAGGCAGTCGTCCCCAAAGAATTTTTTTGGCATCTTTGCCTTCCTGTGCCTTTCTGTGTGCTTTTTTGTTGTGATCATAGGTAAAATTAATATACATTAGAATTCTTGCAAGTACTAAAACAAAAACTTCAGGTGCTTATTTCCAAGCTTTGCCGTGGAATCTCTACGCGCATGGAACCAACGCTTTGGACAATTTTGCTTTCTCCTTGGGTCTACAAACTCATGTCTACGCAGTTGTCATTGACGCTGGCAGCACTGGCTCCAGAGTCTTGGCCTTCACATTCCACAAGTCATTGATTGGTCAGTAGGATTAATGCACAAAAACTTGAAATTATAAAAATTAAGCTAAATTAAATTTGGAAATTATTTTAAAAATTTCTGATTATATTAAAATTAAATCTTAAATACCTCTTTCTAGACGGCAATTTGAAATTGGACGATGAACTGTTTGTCCAAGTCAAGCCTGGACTCTCCTCATTCAGCGAGCAGCCGGAAAAGGGCGCTAGCCAGATGTTGGCCCTGCTGGAAAGGGCAAAAGATGTAGTTCCTCCCTCTGAGCGTGGTCATACTCCTTTAGCCATGAAAGCAACGGCTGGCCTTCGACTTCTGCCTAGACAAAAAGCTGACAAACTTATTGAAGAAGTACAAGATTTCTTTTAAAATTTCTCGAGCATATTAATTGTTTGTCTAATGCAGGTGCGTGAGGTGTTTCGAGAGTCTCCATTCCATAGTACATCCCACTCAATTTCCATCATGGATGGAACAGACGAAGGACTCTTTTCTTGGTTTACCGTCAACTTTTTACGAGGTATCTAATCTAACCAATAATAGTGTCCTTATTGTTGAATAGATAAAAAAACATTCTGCTCATGACTTTATTTATATTTCTATAGTTGTTTATTAGAATTTAATTAATGTTGACAATGTTGACATCGATAATTACCAAGCTACTGATGTAATTTTCCACAGCATTGGTTTGTGTAATAATGACCTATTTCTCTTATCCATTTTAGACAGATTTGGCGGAGGGCCTGAAAACACGGTTGTTGCTCTCGATTTGGGAGGTGGCTCGACGCAAGTTACGTTTGCGTTGGACGAAGACGAAGAGGCCATCCTGATGGCACACGACCCAGAATCTGTCCACGAAATAACAGCATTTCACAACAAGCTTGCAGTTTACACACATAGGTATTTCATAAAATGAAGTTTTGCAACATTTAATTAAATTAATTTTGTAATTATTAGTTACCTGGGTCTCGGATTAATGGCAGCTCGTCATGCGATCTTAACCGCAGATCAAGAAAGTAACATTACTGCAATCCACCACACCTGCATAAACCCTATCGTCTCTACTGAATGGGAATATGCTGGCACTACCTACACCTTGCAGTAAATTCTCATGCCTATCATAAAAAATTATAAATAAATTTTCTTTTAATTAGGGGACCAAAAAATCCAACAATTCTTCACATCAAGGAGAAAAAGGGAACAGTTGCAGAGGACCGTCCCATAGTTAATTTCACACAGTGCCTGTCACAAGTTAAAGACTATGTGGAGCATAAAGTTTACAAACCAAAGGGCTTGTCGAAGAGAGAAATAAATGCGTTTTCATATTATTTTGACCGAGCAGCTGAAGTAGGATTAATTGGTATGTAATTTTTCATAGTGCATGGAAAAATAATTTCATTATTGTTTTTAGATGAGGTTGAGGGTGGAATTTTAACTGTTGGACAATACTTTGACGCTGCAAAGTCGAGTAATTACTTCCATTGATAGATGTTGAGGCATTTAATTAATTCATTTAACCCATTAGGTTGCAACACTCCTAACACGGACCAACCTCTGATGTGCTTGGACCTGACAATAATTTCAGTCCTCCTAAAAGATGGTTTCGGACTTGATATGAATACCAAATTGAACGTAAATATCAATTTAGATGATTGTATCAGAAAGTGCATTGCTTTATTTTGCAGCTCTACAAAAAAATCGACAACCATGAGATAAGTTGGGCTCTTGGTCTTGCATTCCACATTCTGGAAAACGGACTGTGATTGGTCTTCACCATGTGTTCTAGTTTATTACTAAAACTTTGACAGAAGCTTCTACAATTGCAGAAGCCTGCCTGTTAACTGTTGAGCATTTTTAAAATGGTGCAGTTGTGAGAGTTAACGTTACATAATTCAATTAATTAAAAAAAAATGTCAGTGAGATAAAATTGAATTTTCTACTTGGACCAGTATATTTATGTATGATGTAATAAATATGACGTTTATTTTAAAATACATTATGCAGTTGTTGATGTTCAAAAAAATTCAAAATCAGTTTGGCTGTAAGATTGGTATCCTTTATTTTTTGGTTAAATATAGTAACAACAGAGATCCTCTCTGGTAACACCAAATTTAAAGGAAAACATCCATAAAAAATCTTGGACTTAATCAAAAGCCATGGGCATTCAAATATTCATCAAAAACAGAATTCATCCAGATTATTAAATTACATTTTAAAATAATTTTGCAACTTTGAAAACATTTGATATACTATCTAAATTGGCAAAGTTAGTGGACAATATATAGTTGTTTCAATCAACTGAAAAAAAGACAATGGAGATATTCACATGCAAAGTTAGCATATATCCAATAAGCTAACTTAGAATGTGTTTATCCCCCAATAATTTAATTAGATCGGTATGTCTTGCTTGAATTACTGTTATAAAAAATATTTAAATGCCCTAAGATCAGAGGGTTAACAAACAATTGTTAGAATTACAGACCATGAATATCAATAAGCACAATCAGAGATGAGGCAATATGTTATGTAGAAAATTTTGTTTGCAAATAGAGATGTGCTTTTTAAGAAAGTCTCGGTGGCAATAATAGTAAACATTTTTTAAATATTATTAAAGATCTTGACAACAACATAATCATCTGAACACTATCTACACAGAAGCAAGGGTTTTAAGCAGTGACTGCCTTTTTCAGGTGATTTTACAATCGTTAGTAGAAAAACATCCATAGAAAAACCAGTGACTTAGATTCACCAACACATCATGATTTCTTTTCCCAGTTGGCCACTCAAAAATACTCAAAGAGCAGTGTTCAGTAAGTATCACATTATCTAACAAAACTTAACAAGAAATTCCATTGGAAACTGTGTGGAAATAAACAATATTTTTTTTTTGTCGAAGAGTAAAGAAGCACAACATAAAAAAAAATGATCAAAGGCCTGACTGAAATTCTTGATATAGTCTCACCATACTGGTATTTGAAGGATTTTTTTATACATCAACAACCATCTTCTTGTGAATGTCTGTGTTTCCAACAACCTAAAAAAATTATTTTAATAAAATTTGAATATTTCAACCTTTTTATACTATATCTCACAGTGCAGAACTCTTCAAAGTTGATTTTCCCGTCATCGTCTTTGTCAGCAAAGAGAATTGTTTTATCAACAATTTGTTGCAACTGAGTGTCCTTGAGGTTATTGCCCACCATCATTTTAAGGACCTTGAATATAATTTATCCATTAGCAATCACATTAAGTTATTTTAATTTTAATAATAGTACTAAATATTTTTTAAAGTGGATGAATGAATGTAAAATAATACCTGGAAGAGTTCTCCATTGGAAATGTAGCCATCATTATCCATGTCGTAGATGCGGAAAGCAAATCTAAGCTTAGATTCCTTGTCGCCCTTGACACTGAACTGGGACACTCCTTGGATGAATTCTAAAATTTTAATACAATGATTGAAATCAATTGAAATTTTAATTTGAAAATTGATAGTCAAATTGTAGTTAACAAAGGTGGTTCTAGCATATTTTTTCTGCACAAACCTTTAAAATCCACCTCTCCATTGCCGTCAGCGTCAAATATATCGATCACACGTTGCACTAAAGGATTCTGCTGAAGTTCTGGCAGTGTCATGAACTCATCAATGCTCAGAGATCCTGAGTTGTCCAGATCTAATTTTCTGAATCTTTTACCAAGACGGCGGATCTCATCAGCGTCAACTAAATAAATAAGTTATTTATTGTAGTAATATTATTATGAGAAGCAAAGGAAAACTTACAATTGGAGCAAAGCTCCATTGGCAGTGATGTCTCATTACCCTGAAACATGATAGAATATTTTATTAATGTAAATAATTGTTTAAAAAAAAGGGAAAAAATTAGATGAAAATATAGATCCAACATCCAACCACATGATTTGAGATATTTAAATGAATAAAAAAGTTGGTGATTCCAGCTTATTTAAATTTATGCTAATATAAAATCTTTAATTCTAAAAATATATTTAATTACTTGATTCGGTAAGCAAACAGCAATTAAAATTTTCTATGCAAGTTTTTCAAGAAAAAAAAATCTTAATTTGATTAACACAATAACTTTTGCTGTGGATTAAATTTATACATACATAACCGACATAACCCATTTACATAGCGCGTTGTAAAACAAGAACAAGATATGTATGACCCGTCAAATTTACATGAATGTTTCACAACGCATCTAATTCTAAACTTATTCTAATTTTCAAGCAGCCGTGAATAAAAATTATTTTTGGCCCCCGTTGTTCCCAACCGTTAGCGCTTAATTACGCCCAGGAAATTTGGTTCCAGTGAAAAATCAATAAAACACATCCTTACCATTTTTCTTGTCTTTTTCTGGAATGAGTGGAGTTGGTGAGAGCTCGGAGATTACGAGCTGAGTTGCAACCTGTGATTAGCAAACGAAATAAATCTTCGAGATCGACAATAAAACCTGACTGGGTCAGCGCTCGCCCAGGGTACCAATTTTATCGCAACCTATTTATTTTATTTTGTATGCGAATTTATGTGGGACGGCGACTGAGCAAACGTCTGCTCATGCGCATGTTTTGTTCCATAGCACACTCCCCCTACCCCACAACCCACAACACCCCCTCTAGTGGTTTTGAGTTGAAGAACTTGAAGAAAATAAAATAAAATTATTTATGTATTTAGGACGTGTAAATTACATTACTGTTGAGGCAAAATTTATTGATAATTCAGCCGATTTTCTTGTGATTGGAAATATGGTAAATAATAGGCTAAAATTAAATTAAATAGGAAAATTAGGCAAAACATCTGAGCAGGCTGGCCAACAAAACACAATACCAAAAATTAAACTTCGAATTTCCCGCTGCTGCCAGTGCTAGCCAGCCGCTAGCCAGTCAGCGTCCTACATCAACATGCCTGCTCGTCTCGTGTCTCGTCTTTCCATCCCTCCTTCTTTTCCTCTGTCGAACGCAACCATGGCGTCTGGTGTAAGTATGAATTTACTTTTAAATCGCGGAATTTCAGAGTCATCATTGATATAATCGACTCAAAAGCTCTTACTAAAATGCAGATGAATAATCATACTAATGCGTTGCGACAATATTTCAGACCTTGTATACTTTCCCGGACAACTTTCGGGCGCAGAAGATTTTGATCGCTGCCCAATTCTCCGGTGCCAATGTGAAAGTTGACTCCAACTTCGTTTTCGGCGAAACCAACAAGAAGGATGACTTCCTGAAAAAGTTCCCTTTCGGCAAGGTGAGAGCCCGTGTTTGTTGTTTTTCCCTGCACTTTAGGAACGTCGCGTGATTTTATTTCGATTTTTTTCCAAAATTTCTCCATGAAATCACACGTGGCTTTTTGTCTTGACACATTGCTTGGTTCGATACCGGCCTTTCAATGTGGCACCTCACGGATGACGTTTTGCAGTTTGATTATCATGAGATGTGACGAGAAATAATTTTCACGCATACTCGGAATCCACTTTTTAATAAAAAATTTGATGTTATTTTCAAGGTCCCAGCCTTTGAAACCAGTGATGGCAAATACTTGACAGAGAGCAACGCTATCGCTTACTATGGTGAGCTTTTTGCCTTTTTATAATTTTTGATGAGTACTCCCTCGAAGCATTTTTTGTTTCACTTAAGCTTTGAGTGAAATTTTTTGCATCGAGGAAAAGAAAATATCGGATACTCCACCCCTTCAGTTTTGTAGCTCGGAAGGGACTAAATCGCCCCGAACATTTTTCTCTTGATTTAAAATATTATGGAATTTTCCACAGTCGAAAAATTAACTTGTCAACTATGTCTTCAGTTTCGAACAAACAGCTGCGTGGCAACAGCGATCTGGAGCAGGCCCAGGTGCAGCAGTGGCTCTCTTTTGCCGACAGTGAAATCTTGCCCGCCTCTTGCACATGGGTCTACCCTGCCATCAGCATCATGCAGGCCAACAAGCAATCGACAGACCGTGCCAAGGAGGATGTTAAGAGAATCCTGCAGGCCCTCGACAGCCATCTGCTGACCAGGACATACCTGGTTGGTGAGAGGATTTCCCTGGCTGACATTGTCGTTGCCACCAACCTGCTGAACTTATACCAGCACGTTCTTGATGGTAACTTCAGGAAACCGTATCAAAACACCAACAGATGGTTCACCACCATCGTCAACCAGCCCCAGTTCAAGGCTGTTGTCAAGGACTTCAAATTCTGCGAGAAGGCAGCAGAGTTTGATGCCAAGAAATTTGCTGAATTCCAGGGTAAGATCTCCTGTAAATTAGGAGCAATTTTTTGTTTCAAAATAAAACTGCTCAAGTTGGGGTTTTGGGTTTTGTAGAAGGTTTTTAGCAAGCAATCTGAAAAATGTAAAGAGTTGGATTATTTTTTTGTTTTAGGCAAGAGTGGAGGTGCCGCTCCCAAGGAGGGTGGAAAGAAGCAAAAGAAAAGCGAATCGGAAAAGGATACTAAGAAGCAAGAACCCAAGAAGAAGCAGGAGAAGGAAAAGGAACCTGAAGTTGAACCTGATGCGGCGGACGAAGCATTAGCCCTTGAACCTAAGCAGAAGGATCCCTTTGCAGATATCCCTGCTGGGTATGTTCTCTGGGCTAATGATATACTCCTATATACTTTCATATTATTGTGATGATACCTCTAATTAAATATACTTAGTGATTATTTTCCAAAAGGATTCTGAAAAATTTTCATTGCATTTAATGCTTTTTTCTTTTCTACTTAAATTTGAAGCATTGTTTTCTTTTTACTAAATTATGATTTTTTTTTCAGAACGTTCAATCTAGATGAGTTCAAGCGCTGCTATTCAAATGAAGATGAATCAAAATCGATCCCCTTCTTCTGGGAAAAGCTTGACAAGGATCACTGGTCCATCTGGAAGGGCGAATATAAATACAACGATGAACTGGAAAAGGTTTTCATGAGTTGCAACCTCATCACGGGAATGTTCCAGCGCATAGAAAAGCTCAAGAAGAATGCTTTTGCCTCGGTCTGTCTTTTCGGAACCGACAATGATAGCTCAATTTCTGGAATCTGGGTCTTCAGAGGACAGAAGCTGGCCTTTGAGGTGTGTAGTGAAACATTGTCCTAGGAAATATTTTTACTTAGTATGATGAAAAAATCTTCTCTCTTGATTTCCTGTGATAGAGTTTACCAAAAGGATTCTGAAAGTCTCTTGGAACTCTTAATAAAATTAATTTGTGTTGCAGCGTCTCATCCTATTTTTATTTTTTAGCTAAGCCCCGACTGGCAAACCGACTATGAGAGCTACAGTTGGACAAAATTGGATGCAAACAAGCCTGAAACAAAGGATATTGTCAGCAAATACTTTTCCTGGACTGCTACGGATTCTAAGGGACGCAAGTTCAATCAAGGAAAGATCTTCAAGTAAAAATCACGCTTTGTCTCTGTCACAAATGAAAATAAATTATGGCTTAATTTTTATTGTTGTTTCTCAAAATAAATCCTTTCAAATGACTTTTGTTGAACCAGATTCATTGTTTATATCAAAAGGATGCATGGCGATCTTTTCGTAATAGCCTGACTGAGTGAGGATTCAATGTAAAAGATGCAAAAGAATTTATAAAAAAATTTGCACTGCATGGTGAATATTGCAATGAACACGCCGCCTTTAGTTTTTGGCAACCCTGGAAGGGGGGCGGTGGCAGCAAACGGAACGATCAACAAGGATAATAAATATCACAGCGCGCGCTAACAATAAATTTATATACATAATTTGTTTGGTTTTCTGGAACAACAGTTTTCTTCCTTCGACCATGTCGGGTATGCCAATGATGAATTTTAAACAATTAATAATTTTACTACAACTGGGTATGTGTGATATGTACACATGATTATGTATGTATGTATTACATTATAATTATCCATAATGATCGTAACATCTCAGATTTGTTTGGAAGGCTGTTGGGGACGACGCGATCGTCACAATATATTTATCAAATTGATAATTATTAAATTTAATAATTATAATTATGTACAATAATACATAATATGTATTGATTGACGATCCTGTCGTCAACTTGGACATTCTTTCTAACTGCAGATGACGAAAATCTCAGCATTGAAGATTCAAAACAAAAACTTCACCAGTTACGGAAGGCTCGCAGGAAACTTGAAAAAGATTTGGCAGAAACTATGAAATCCTTCAAGCCACCCATCGGCACAGAGAATGAAAACTCATCAAATAAGCTTGCAGACATAAAAATAAAAAAGAAAATGCTGGAGCACTTCGGTAAGAAAATTAAGGCTCACCCAACAATTGTGAACGGGGCTGTATGTGCCTCTGGCAGTAGCTGTGGCTGCAAAATGCCATAATTATAAAGATCTTATGGACCCGCCTCCGCCATTAATTAGCAGTAGTGTGGACAGACACGCTTTAAATTAATTGTAATAAAAATCCAATTTGGATCCTGATTTTTATGCAAATTTAATGTTATACTATACATAATATAGTACATGAGTATAGCACATTGTTACTGATACAAAAAGTTTATGGATATAGAAGCTTAATTCTATTAACAATAAATTTAACTATAATATTTCATATATTTAACCAACAGTGAATTAAGTTTATTAATCAATTTTTATAACCGTATGTCAGGTGTAAAAACAACATTTACGGGAGTCAAGAGGAATGTAGCAGTTCTCACCTTTTACGACAACCAAAAGGGAGTGGTGAAAGGAGAATGCTCTATGAAACTGGAGCTGAAAGATGAAGGTACCAATTATAATATTATTTTTTATTTAGTTACATTTTATATAATTTTCATTGAATTATATTCTGCGGTATTTTGATTTATTATCCAACAGAGTTTACTATCCTGCAATATACATTTTCAAAAGATGTCTGTTCTATTTTGACTTCAAAGAAACTGCCTATCACCTTCAAAGACAATCCCGGAGAAATTTTGCCTAAAATTTTGGAATGTGTATTTGCGTATTTCAATCGCCACCACCAGCTCTCTGACTTCATGGTAAATTTGAGGTCGTTATATAATTTTGCAGTAAAATAACAGCAAAACAAATTGCAGAAAGCTTATCCTTACGCCCAATGCATATGGAGTTCAAACTGCCAGAAAGTTGAAATTGTTCTTCCATTGGAGAAGGAAGACAATGCTACTTTCGCAGTTATGCTAAAATTGAACTACAACGAAGACCAAACAATTCCACATGAATTTGAGTTCAGCTTAAGTAATATATAACTTATCTTTTAACTAGTAATTTTTTTAAATTTAGAATTAAAACTATTTCAGGTGCCGATAATGATGACCTAGAAGAAGAAATTTTGAACGGCCTGAAGGTTTTTCTGAAAATGCCATTGGTTGATGCATTTGGAAAATTCTACACGTATCTTTCATCCCAGTAAAGACTTATTTTATTGCTTAATCACTAATATAAACAATAAATCACATTATCACATATTTATTAAAATTCCAGGTTTTTATTTGAACCTGATCCACAGCCACCAAAGCTTTGTGATAATTTAGGTCCTACAAAGTCATCCTGCTCCCTCTCTTCACTTTCAGCTATTTCCGGAGGCAATTGCAGTTTCTAAATTAACAGAAGTTAAAGAAAAAATAAAATTCTAACTGTATTTAACCTCGATGCAAAATTTCTTCCTCCGCACTTTAAAGCCCAGATCCAATGTAGCTGGTTTGTAGGGAGTAATTGTGTTGATTGATGGCAATTTATTGATTTTGAATAAACCATCTTGGCCAGAGAGAAGTGGATTCACTTTTCCATCAATATGGATGGCAGGTATTAGTTGAATACTGTAGTCACTGATTTGCCTGCAGCGTGATATAGTTGCTGCCTATATGATCAAATATTTTTACATTGAATTGTTTGAGTCTTTAGTAAAAATAATACTTACGTTGAAGAAATGGCTTGGAATGGTGACTAAACAAACAGCGCAGGAAGCTCGCAGAATGGCTCGAAGTGCATAGAATATCACTGGAATCTTTTCAGATTTTATTTCCCATAATGGAGAACCAAGTGATAATATTGCCATTCGTAAAACAGTCCTCTGTTTGACTGGTTCGCCGCCCGATACATTGCATTGGACCCAGCAATTGTGTTCGGCTAGCGAATTTTTCACACTTTCTAATAAAGTTTGGATCTCAGGAGACAAAACGTCTGCAATTAAAAAAATGTTAAAAAAATATAATTTTTCAATTAAGAACTTATACCTTCAGCTGTTTTGTCATGTTTCACAGGGCCCCCACTCCATCGAGTCAGTTTAATAGACGAAAGCACTTCCGGTACTAAATTTCTACTTAAGTCAAAGTGATGACCAAATTGAACAGATCGGTTGCTGCGGTCAGATGAGTTGTTGGGCATGTGTTGGTACCTCCATGCAATTTTCATATCACTTGATTCCGACACCTGTTTAGAATTTTCTGGTACATTGCCTGTCTGATCTTCAGCTGGCAAGCTTGAAATCTAGAAGCAGTCACGTCTTTATAAAATTGCATTTATTTTATGTATGCACGGTTTAGCTACCAGAGTGTCTATATTTTTATCCTTAGAAGCAACAAGCAGTGGATGACCTACAAGAACACCTTCAGCCAGAAACAGTCTTGTTAACAAACTTGCATAACTGTTGCTCCTGTCTTCCTCTGTAGAAATTTTATCGACTTTTAATATTTAAACACGGAATATTTTTTGATTTGTAAGAAAAATACATAAAAAAATCTAATTATGTATGAATATGTACATACCAATCAAGAGCAGAGTTCCAACTGCTAATCCACCACCTGCAAATTTTCAATAATTAATCAATTTAAACAAGTCTATTTTTTTTATTAATAATAACCAAATTACCAATGACGTTGTCGAATTCTGGGGCCCCTGTTGACACAAGCAACTGTGCGTTTTCCACCGAAATCTTTGTACCCAAGACGTCTGGTGCACGAATGCGTGTGTTCTTCTTGAACCCTCCGCTCATTTTAAGACAATATATTCTAAATTTTAAGATATTTAAAATTGAAAGTACCCTTCACAGTTCACAAATGCAAGCAAGAGACCAGGACCAGACGACCAGACCCTGACCAGACCAATGTGCCTTGCCAATGTGCTTGTGTTGTGACTGTTGTTGTCTTTACTTGTTGGTTGTTGTTGTGTTTACTTGAAAGCAAGGAGCTTTGAACCTTGAACGCAGGTGTGCTACTGGTGCCATAGCCAATCAGAGACTAGAAGAGAAAACGGAGCTTTGTCATTGGCTTGGAGATTGCAGCACATAGCACAAGACTCCTCCTTGCAAGCACTCCTTGGAAAACCCAAAAACAAAAATAAAACACTACCAAGAAGAAAAATGTTCTACATATACTTCTTGAACACAACAGTCACAACACACAACCAAGTATAAAATTTTTATACTTCTTGCACACAACTAACCAAGAAGCAACAAGAAGACAACACAACATACAACACAAGCAGAGAAAAGAGACAAGAAGTGGAAGACGACGTCCGAGATTTTGTCTAGCAATTTTAAATACACTTAAAAATATTTCAAGAAGATGCTCCCAAAAGAAGATACACAAAACCGCGAAACAAATCAATCGACAACTCATCAGGACAAAGAAAACAAAGGCAGACCAAACAAAAATGGTCCTGCCGCAAAGGCAAGAAAAATTTATAATATTTTTCAACTGAATTTCATTTTAATACACATTAAAATTTAAATTATTAATTGCTTATTTAGATTATTAATGCTATAATGAGCTATGTATGTAATTATTTTAAGGTTGTCATTCGACATTTGCCACCGTCAATGACCAAAGATTGTTTTCTCGAAGAAGTGTCTCCTCTTCCCAAGAACGACTATCTATGCTTTGTTAATGCAGACTTGACCCTTGGTCGATTCGCATTTTCGAGAGCATACATTAACTTTTGCAACCAAGAGGATATTTTCATTTTCACTGAAAAGTTTGATGGCTATGTTTTTGTGGACAGCAAAGGTTAGATTCTGAAAATATGATTTTTTACGTACTCCATGACTTTATATTCACAGGCGATGAATATCCAGCAATAGTAGAGTTTGCTCCGTTCCAAAAAATTCCTAGGAAGTCAAATCGCAAGAAGGATAACAAATGTGGCACAATCGAAACAGATCCGGACTTTCTGAAATTTTTAGAAAATAAAGAAAAGCAATCTGAAACAGAAACGACCATGTCAGCAGTGGAAACTCTTGAGGAAATCAATGCCAAGGAGAGAGAGTTGAAAGGTTTGCAATAATAAAAAATTTCATTTTATCAAAGACTAAATTTTTTATTTTAGCTAACAAGGGAGTTATAAAAGTTTCAACACCTTTATTGGACTTTTTAAGGAAGAAAAAAGAAGACAGAATTAGAATCAGAGATGAGAAACGAGAAGAAAGAGATAGAAAGAGAGCTGAGAAGAGGAAACAAAGAGACGATGATAAGAAGAAGGTGAAGGATGTCAAACGTCAAGGAGATAAAATTAAACAGGTTTGGTAATAGAACTATAATTATAATCAAAATAAAACATTTCTGTACTGCAGGAGAAGGCACCTCAGAAAATTTTGACAGCCAAACCAAAGGAAGAAGTCAAAGTTGTCGAGGAGGAATTGACCAAGAACCTAAAGGACATGTTGAAAATTGGTGCTGGAAAGGTTTGTTCATTATTGATGAACTAATTCATAAATTTATAATTGAAATATCATAGGATGGCCCAGAGGAATCAAAATCAGGTGTTGCCCCAACAGAAAATCAACCCGAACGAAAGAAAGCACCTCCAGCAAGAGAGGGCAAGCCTGAGCATCCAAGAAAACGGGACCCCCCTAAGAGAGACAAGAAAAGTCAAGGACCAGTGGACGAGAAAAAAGAAGGCAAAAGAGAGACTGAAAAATCTGACACAAAGTATGACTTTGAAATTTGTATTGTTATGAACAATTTATATGTTCTTTTTAGAGTTAAGCAGAATACGCCTTCAAAGGAAACCAAAAGCTACAAGGAGGAGAGACAAAAAATGAAGGAAGCGAGGGCTGCACGAGCTGCTGCCAAGCAGGAATCCAACCAGCCAAAAGAAGCCGACGGTGATGCCAAAGCCGAGTCTGAAGATTCTTCGTCCTCGTCCAAAACACAGCAATATTCTGAGGGAGGAGGCAAACCTGGCAGATTGCGGAACAAAGACCGCCCTGCCCTTCAAATCTATCGACCTGGAATGCTAAAAAGAGGAGATGGGAAAGGAGGCTCCGACGGCCCAAGCTCCGAACTGTCTGGTGCCAAGCAATCTGAAGATGGCCAAAAACCTTCAAAATCTAGGACTTTTGTGTCCCGAAGACGCAAACCTGCAAGTTCCGAGCAGGCTGAAAATTCCGGCTAGCTCATATTCATACAAAATTATTTGCAAGGTAATTGTACAAATAAATAAAATTGAACCAAACTCGAGTTAATTAATTGTTACTTGCCTGCCAGGAAATTTATTTTACATAAAACAGTGTGATGGGTTATTTACATCAACGAACTAAGTTCTAACGCTTTCACATAAGGGATTTTCTGTCTATTCATCTGGAATGCTGTCCAATCCCTTTAATTAAAAATGAAATTAATTAGTACATGCACACCTTTTAAAGATTGCACAATTTAACTTACAGCTTGTATGTAGGGATTTCCTGTAAGTCGGTAGTCTCTTCTGTACACGTGCTGGCTCTCAAATGAGTCCAAATTCCTTTTAAAGGGCTGTAAATAAAAAATAAATGGTAATAATAGATGAGCAGTGTAAAAAATGGAATATTGTTCTCAGTTAAAAATATTGTGCTTAAAATTGAATAAATGACATTAAAAGATTGGCGAAACTCACATTTCCTAAGCAGAGCTTGTTGATGTAGTAGCAGGCTACTCCTGGGACAGCTAATGCGCCCATAACGATGCCGAAACTGGGCAAAATTTCAAACCACATCTTTGTTTATGCACAAAATTTGACGATAGGGAAAAATGGCCTCCTTTCTCCTTTATTTTTGCAAAAGCAGAGCAGGGTTGCCACTCTAGACAAAATTCGTGCCGTGGGAGGTGTGGCTGCCTGATGAATTTACACGTCTGCAAATGAATTGACGTTGATAAAAGCAGCTGGACCTGCTGGACGGTCAGAATCAGAGTGAAAGTTTGTTACTTGCGTGTTTTGACATTAAATCGTCAAATAATCTGCTTGATCGTGAAAATTCTCGCATTTGTTTTACCATGGCGTCTTGAACTAAAAACTGCATAACAAATTGTTCTTGATCCTTTAATTTCTGACCCAAGTCACCCAAGGTAATGTTGAAACTAAATTCGATTGCAGATTACGTTAATGTGCATATGTAGTTTAGCTTCAATGCTGCATTATTTGATACAGTTTAATATAAATACATAAGTAACATAACTTTGTTAACGGTTTAAAAATTGTTACGTACATACAGCAGTTGCATAGAGTGTGAATACATAATTTTATATATTTTTATTTGTAAATTTGTTAACTATAAAAATGGATAATGTTCCAAATATTATTATATATGCTGTCTTGAGTAGAATTAATAATAATACATAATCAACAAAATAATAAAAATTGCAACTGCAACAATTATACATACATATCTGTAATTTTAAACTCAATTTAATTTTTGAAAATGCACATTTTTTCCGCATTTTTCTAAGCAATATTTTTTTAGAGCCGTAGCGCAGGGATGGACGACCCTCTTCCCAATGTTTCTGACCTGGAGGATCAGTTGGCTGCTCAGCAGAGCATGATTGAGCAAATGCGGGACACTTTGTTACAAAGGGAACAAACCGTGTCCTCAAACGAGAAGAAGGTCCAGGCAAGTTGTTTAAAAATTTTAAAAGCGTGTTAAAAAAAAATGTATACATAATGTTTCACTTTCACTTCAGGACTATGCCGCTACACTGTCCCGGATCCGGTCTTCTCACCGACCAAACAAGAAAAAAGACGAATCGAAAAGTGCAATGGCCCTTGATGTAACTCCGCAAAAGGGTCCAAGCAGCAAGATGAATTTGTTGAGGAAACAGATGGAGGAAAATAGGTAAAATTGTAAATAATTTAATGATAATGAAACCTTACCGCCTGTCGTAAACAGAGCTATTTTGGAGCAAAGAGGCAAGTTTATCAACGAGCACAAGCAAAGTGTAGAGGGAATGGTGGAGTTACTGAGCGCCCAGTTGACTGAAAAAGATTTGGCCCTGGAGGAAGTGCGACGGAGCAGAGAGGCTCAGGAGAGCCTTCCGCCAATCATAGTAATTTGAGATTGCGTTGAAAAGACAATGACCTTGATAATGTATCAAATTTCAGCCGTCTTCTGAAGAATGCCGTGAGCTTTATGCTCAAGTGATTGCCAGGGATAACAAAATCTTTGAGTTGAACAACAAGATATTTGAGCTGGAAAAAAATATCATGGATTACGAGGTAACTTTTTTCACTACTTTGTAATGGTGGGGAAGTTACAAATTGGTGTTGTAGGAAAGTATCAGAGAAAAAGAATCAGTTCTCGAAGCTAGAACTAGAGCTGTAGCTCTGATAAAAGAAGACTTGGGCCACAAACACTCGACTGCCCTTCGTCAATTGGAAGAAGCAAGGAAAGAGGTTGTAGAATTGAAAAGTACACTGTCTCAACGTGAAGAGCAATTGAAAGAGGAGAAAAAAATTCTGGTTGATACAGTCGCTTCAAAAGAGCAAAAGTGAGTACTGAGTTTTGATATTTTTTAAAAACCAAGTTGAAAATATTGTGAATTACCTAATGCATTACATCACATTTAACATGACAAACGACTTATAACAATGTTTCTAATTTATAGGTTGGCACAACTTGAAGCCATTCGGTTTGATTTGTGCACTCGAAATGCTGAGCTGCAGCATAAAATTGTTGCTCTGCAAACTAAAAGCCACGAAGTTTTGTCTCAAGGATTGCCGCAGGATAAAGACCGAATCCAAGAATTAGAGTTGAAGGTAAAATTTCACTGCCATAATTTATCTGCGCCATTATGTTTATTAATGAATATTTAGATTGAAGAAGTAGAAACAGCCGCATCATCAGAAATTGAAATGCTGAAGAAAAAACTGGAAGAAAACAACAAACTTTTAACAAAAACAAAAGTAGCTTATTCCAAGAAACTTAAAAATCTGGAGCAAAAATTGCAAGAAACACACAATGTTCAAGATTTGGAGCAAAAAATAGCAGTGCTAGAAGAGGAAAAGGGTAACTTGCAGCTTTTGCTTGTTGATTTTGAAGAAATTAAAGGTAAAATGGTATATTTTTTAAATTAAATTTTTTTCATTAAATCTTTTGATCCTAAGCTTCAGAAGCTATGCTCCAACAACAGGTCAATGGTCTTGAAAAAGCCACCTTAGAGCAAAAGTCTTCCTTGGAGAGCCAAACACTTGTGATAAACAAATTAGAGGAAACAAATTCCCAAACTTTTAATGGTAAGAAAAAATGATACATTTTTTATGTCTGAAAAATCCTTACGCTAGTTCTGAAATTCAAGAACTCCAGCAATTACGAGCTTCAGAAGCTGAACTGCAGACAGAGCTTGAGGCTGCAAAAACCATGGTTCAAGAAAGTGAGCATGCTGCTGTGCGAGCTAACATGAAGACGGTAGAATTGGAGGAGAGGCTCGAGCAGGCTGAAAAAGCCTACCAAGAGTTGACGGCTGAGGTTGAGTCCTTGCTTGCTCAAAAGGAGACTGTTGACAGCTCAAAGCACCTTCAAGATGTGATTGACGTTGCAGAGCGGGACAAGAGTTATTATCAGGAAGAAGTTCAGAGTTTGAGGGAGCAGTTGAAGGCTCAAGAAGCCATTTCCATAGAGTCGTCCGAAGCTCTTCTCCACGCTCAACAAACTCTTGCTCTGAAGTCAACAGAACACGAAGCCGAAATTGAGTCTTTGCAGGCGCAAATTTCAGCCAAGGAAGAACGCGTCTCTCAGCTGGAGGAGAAAATTGCTGAGCTTTCAGACGAATCGCAGAGAAGCTTGGCTCAACTGAACGAAACAATGATGGAAGCCCACCATGCACAAGAAGCGCTCGTCAAAGCAGAATCTTTTGCTTCCCAAGAGGAGAGCAGAGTGAGTCTGGCTGAGGAGAAAATTCATGCTTTGGAAAATCAAATTGGTGAACTGCAGAGTGCTTTGGCACAATTGAAGCAGCTTCAGGAGCATGAGTCCATAGCTCGAAGTCACGCTCAGGAGGAAATTTTGCAGCTCAGAGCTAAATTGAATGAAAGTGCCATTCAACTCGAGAGTGCCGCTGGAATCATGTCGACGCTGGAAAACCTTAGAAGAGAGCATGAAAATCTGCAAAAGAAATATCAAGATGAGACCACACAGCTAAAGTTAAAACTAGACCAAGCAGAAGACGAAGTCTCAGCTGCTTCCTCTCAAGTAGAGAAAAATCACAAGGACCACCAATTGGCCATGGAGGGCTGGAATAATGAAATGAAGTTTTTAAAAGAGCATGTCAATGGTCTCGAAGAAGCAAACAATGAACTCCACGAGCAGATAGATAATTTGAGTCTTGAAAAAGAACGCATTGAATCAGAACTTTGGAGTGCTCAGGAAGAGTTAGGAAACACAAAAGATGCTTTGATGAAATCTCAAGAGGTACAGTTTTTAGCTCAAATTGAATACATTAAGTGTGTTGTTAATTATATTCATATTTTATAAATTAGGATACTTTGAATGAGTCTAAAGCTGAAACGGACTCTCTCAATCAGAGGATTCATGAACTCGCAAATCAACTTGTTGAGCTCCAAGGCCGAATTTCAAACCAAAGTTTGGAAATTGAAAACTACAGAAGCTCAAATGCCACTCTAAATGAAGAGCTTGCAAGTTATCAGTTGGAAAAGTCTGCGTACAATCAAGCAATAGATGAACTGAGAACAAAGCTGCAAACACTGGAGGTACGTATTGTTTTGTATGCCTTTTAAAGTGATTGATATAAATTTAACAGGGTATATTAAAATCTTCGCATGATGAGAAAGAACATTTGTCTAAATACAATGAGGACCTCCAGTCAAGACTTGTATCTTTCCAAAATCAGCAAAGCTCAATGGAAGGCATGAATAACCACATTGCTGAAGTAAACAATGAGCTGGAGCGACTGAGATGGGCTTTGGGAGAGAGGGACCAGACTTTGCAAATGATGGGCCAGCAAGTTTCAAATTACGAGAGCCAATGCAGAGAACTGAGTGCAAATGTGAAAGATTTGGAAGGTTCTCTGGCTGTGAGTAACCAGGGAAAAGAACAACTTGAATTTCACTTGAAGGAGAGTCAGGTATGGTATTTTATTTACAAAATCAATATAAATATTAATGGCTATTTATTTTTAGAACCTTATTCTCAAAATTCAAAGTGATCAAGAGAATAAAGAAGACCAGATTCGTTTGAGACTTTCCGAATTGGAGTCGATCAATGTAAACCTCCAGAATTGTTTAGAGCAACAAAAGAAGGATCAAGAGGAAGTGGAAAGTAGTTTGAAGGCCCAGGTCGAGAAACTTATTGAGGAGCTAAATGAAGCTCAGGTATAATTATATTTGTATTACTTTGATTCCAGAGAAGTAATTTGTAAAATAATTTACAGTCGAACAAGTCTGCTGTTGTTCCAGATGAAATATCCTGGGGAGATGACCCGTGGAAAGAATCTGCGCACCACCAGGCTCCAATGGACAATTCTAACAACGTCCTTGTAGTTGAGCTGCAAAAGCAATTGCAAGAGGCAGAAACAGCACAAGCAAAATTGGCTGAGGAGCTGAAAGCTTCGCAAGTTCGGTGCGGCAAAGCACTGAAGCAGCTCAAAATGGTAAGGGAGCAGAAAAAGCCTGCATCCGACTTGGACAAAGTGATGGAGGACGAACTTCAGGTATTCAAGAATTTTTCAAGAAATTTTAGGGCGCTTATGTTTATTTTCTTATTTCAGTCAAGAATTTTGTCTTTGCAAAAGGAGTTATCTGAGGTTCAAGCAGAGCGCACATCTCTAGTTGCCAAAACTGAAACGTTGAAGGATGCAAATGATAGATTGACAGAGTCCAAAAAGCTGCAGTTACTTGAAATTGAGCGACTTAAAGTAGAAAGACTGGCTCTGGAGCAAGAAGCGGCCGACTGGAGTCAAGATGACAGGGTTGAGACTCTTGAAAGACAGCTCCAAGAAGTTTACATGAGGTGCAAAGAATTGGAGGAGCACATTGCTGGTGGGATATTTTGTGTTTTGGATTAACGGCAATTTATTATTATTATTTATTAGGTGACGAAGAGTCCGAAGCAGAATCAATAATTTTGCAAGAAAACCTGGTCAAATCAAGAGAAAAGTGTTCAGAGCTTGAAAGGCTGAGGAAACAAGACGAGGAGAGATTGGCCCTTTTGGAGGAACAATTGAAGAAGGCTAGTGAAAATTATGAAAGCTTAAGAAGAAGGTAAATTAAAACCATATTTTCTATTGATGCCAAAATAATTGTATATTTTAAGCAGTAAAGAGGAGGTTCCTGAGCACAGCACTCCAGTAGAAATGGCTCCAGTCTCTGCATTACCTGTTAAGGTGGAAATTGCTACAATGACTGAAGAGATTAACCTTACAGAAAAGTCAGTCGATACAGAGGAACATGTTGAGGTCCCACAATCAGCCTTGCCAAGAGACGAGACGGAAAATATTTCAGAATCAGTTCCTCGTATTTCCAATGATGTAGAGAAGATGAAGTCTGAATTGTTGATGCAACAACAAGAACGAGATGCTCTTTCTGCTCTGGTGGCGCAACTGCGAGGAGCTCTTGAGGCCAAGTCTCAAGAATTGGCTCTCAGAGGTACCGATGCTAACCTCAAAGCAGAACTGGATTCTGCTCTTTACTTTTTACACCAGCGAGATGTTCGGTGTGACGAACTTACTTTGGAGCTAATGGCCTTAATGGAGGAACGAGATGCTCTCCAGATGAGACTGTCAAGTGCCCTCAGAGTCAATGCTAACCAAGCGGAAAAGTTGAAGGAGGTTGGTGGGCAACCTGAGGAATTGCAGCTTAAGTAAGTTCTGTTAAATATAACAAAATATATCTAATTTGGTGGTGTCAGACTACACGAGCTACATTCCGTCGGCCACAAACGAGATGTTACATTGAGAGGCGAGCAAGAAATGAGACATTCTGAGCAGCAAGCTGCATTGCTGCCTAGCCCAAATCTTCATTACACTCCGCAACAAAGAGTTCTGCAATTGGAAGGTAAGATATATTTCCAGTTTATTTTTTTTCTCCACATGATACAACAAGCATTCGATATTATTTATAGATCCACAACAGCAGCAAGGATCGTCTGGCTTGCTTGGGTGGCTGTGGGGTTACTAGCTACCCTCTAATTTTTATAAATACGCAACAGTTTTGATTGCTTCTACCAAAATGAAAATATAATCACGTCACTGTTATCATGGCTTTTCAAATTCAGAATATTTTATTTTTCAATAGTCTCAATCCCTCAATTAAATAGATTATTATTTAAAGACAAGGGATGAAAGCGTCATCATTACGAACTTTATTTAACTAGCTTTAATTAAAGATCCAACATTTTTCTCAAAAACATTAGTTATGCAGCAGCAGTTCGGTCGGCCTTTGGCGTTGACTTCTTCTAAATATAGCAGTAATTCTTGGCGCCCATGTTGAATTCCTGTTCTTCCACTTCGTACTGCATGATAATCTGAAAAATCGCACAAGATCTGTGAAAGCAGCCCATCGTCTGCTTTCCATCCTCACCCCAGCAATCTCGTCTGTGAGAACCTTTTCAGTGGTCGTATGCTTCTTAGTCAACTTTTCCTTTTCCTTGGCAGCCCTAATCTTGGCCTGTTTTCGCTCCTCCAAAAAGCGCTTTGTATTAGTTTGCTGCTTTTCCTTGAGACGACGATCCTTGTCATTCTTTGTCTTCAACGTTTTATCGGCTGCAACCTCTTTTGCTGTCTCTACACTAACTTTTGACTGAGATGCAATCAAGTCTTTCTCATCCCTTAATTGACAAAATGGTGAACAGAAAGATACAAAAAGTATATGAATATTTACTTGTCAAGTCTGACTTCCAATTGCTTGACCTGAGTAGCCTGAGCGGCAGTCATCAACGATTTGAGCAGGTCCTCGCTGTCCTTCAAGTGAGCTTTCAACATTGTCCACTCTTCCTTCAGCTGCCTCTCTACCATTTCTGACCATTGGGTTGTCTGTTCTTTAACAACCTTAATGACGCTGGCATCTTTCATAATTTCGTCAGGCCTATTAACAAAGAATTTGCTGTTAATAAGTAACTAAAAATCATTTATATTGAACTATTATACTTTCTGCCTTTGCCAAGTTTCTCGGTAGCGGTGGTGTGGTTTTTCTGGAAAGTCTGTCGCTCTTTCAAATGCTTCTTGCGCATGGTCTCAAGTTCCTTCTGCTGTTTCTTACCGACCTTGGCAAAGCCCTTTTCCGTGCGCAAACTTTCAACAGTGATATCCTCAAACTTGATCTCCAACGCTAAAATATATAGCTATTAGAAAAGGAATTCTATAAATTGGAATCTGTCTCTGCATTGCATACCTTTTTTCTTCTCAGCCTCAGCTGCTTTGCTCTGCAAATAATTTTTTAATAGAATTGCAATATAGTTTTAATCAATAACACTTTACCTCAGCTTTGGTATCTTGAATTCCCATTTGCTTCATCTGCTCTTCTCTCTGTTCCTGAGCTTTGGCGAAAGCCTTTGGATCGGACAAAGCAGCCATAAAATCTATTAAGAGCCAATAATCAAAAAATCAAACCAGGTTTTTTGTTACATACCTCCAAGACCATCAGGAACATAGATCTTTAGCTCGATGTTAGCAAAAAGCATAGGCAAGGCCATAGGAAAGTTTCCTTCAGTTCTTAGAGAAATATGTCTGTATCCAGCTTGGAGACCATCAAGAGGCAAAATACGCTGTCCAAGAAGCTTGCCGCTTTCGTCAAACACACCAAAACGCAGCACGGCCAAGTCAGGCATTACAATCTAAGAAAGTATATTTATCTCAAAGTCTTGTGTAATCTAAACAAGTTTACTTTTCGGAACGAGAAAGGATCTTCGTTGTAAACGGGATTCAGACCGTTGGCAGGAACAAGTCTTGTCCTGAACTCTTTCCTGATTGTATCAGCAGGCAAACCGTACATGTCCACTTCAACATAGGTCCCCACTTTCTTGTCCGACAAGAACTGGCCTGCAATAACCTATCACAAAAGACGTCTAATGTTTTCTGATTATAAGCAATGCGCTAATGAAAATATACCTGGACCGAGCACTGAGCAGCAATCACACCGTCCACAGAGGTTTCAGCAAAGGGATCAAAACTCCTGTCCACTCGACGCATGAACTCTGGTTTCAGCAAGTAGCCGCAATTGCCGTTATACTCAAATTTACCCTGGTTCAACTGCATGGGCAAGTCGGGTGTTTGGTAATTCAGGGACACCATTTGACATCCAGCATTCCAAAAGACCTAAGCAAAAAATAATTTTGTAATTTTTTTATTATTTTTTATTCATTTTTACTTGAGGCATGTAGTTGGAGGAATCGACTCGAGCACCCTTGGGGTAAATTCGGCTCATCTGGCGCTTGTTGTAGTTGACAAAGTCAATACCGTTTGACTTGATGTAATTCATACCAGCGTTTTCAGCAAATGAAGACATGTTGTGATGGATATTTTTCTCTGGGTAAAACGTTAAATAGTGATTTTTAAATTTTTAAATTTGTTGAATATATTTACTGATTGCTGCATCAAATCCCTGGAACTTAATAGGCTGAGCATAGTTGATCATTGAGGAAAGCCAGGGATGTACATTAGTGGTTGATCCTGTGTGAGCTGGCACGGGTGTGCCGTCACCAGCGCCCTCAGCTGCACCCTCGGCTGGTGCCCCATCAGGGCCAGGCTCGTTTGGATCGGGCATCTATTACTGAATTTAAAATATTGAGCTCCCTGGTGATAAAATGTAAATTACTTGATCCTTCGGAGGGGCTACGGCTGAAGCGTCTTCCTTTTCTTCATTGTCGAGCACCAACTGGCCCTTCAAGAAAAGTTCCATCTCAGCCTTTTCAACGTCTGGCTTCATCCGCTTGTTTTTAATTAGAATTTTGCGCTTCAGCGCACTTGGAGGAGGCAGGGGCGCACCAGGCTCAAGCTTAAAGTTAGTATTTTTTATTTTAAAAAAACATATCATGGTTGATTTTGAATTTGTTACTGGGTAGCCTGGCAGAGGCTCTTTAAGAAGAAGATCCCCAAACATGTCATCGCAATATTTGGCCATTTTGTATTGCTGGCTCTTGCAGCAGTGATTTTCAAAAGACAGAACGATGGGGTAATCAGATGTCACAAAGGCGCAGTCACGAATTGCCATAATCGCTTCCTAATTAGATATAATTGTTATTTTTAAATGTGCAGTTCAAAAAATTATACTTTGTAAAGGATGTCGGTACACATGGCTTTTCCGTGAGTGATAATCGGCTCTTCGTCTTCGCCCTTTCCATCCCAACAATCGAGTTCCACACAGCGACACCCAGCTAACAAAGTCTGCCGATACATTTCAGCCGTACTTTTGCCACCAAATTGACGACCAGAGAGATAAGTGTTGTGAGAAGAGTTGATGTAGTAGTGAGCTAGTGGCTGGTCCATGTCCATATACACTTCGAGTCGATCCAAGAACACTGGCGCATTTTCGTCACTCATCAGATAGTTGATCATACCTTCCTTGCTCATTTTTACTGAGAAAACATAACTTTAATAAAAAGAATTACTTTTATATCATTTATAAACTACAACTTACATTCTTTCTTGAACTCTTCGTTGATTTCATAATCATTTATGATTTCGGTACATCTCTTCTCGCTGTACAAGGGGTACAAAATTTCGTTAAGGCGAGGATCACGCTGCTTTTCGTTCATGAATGTCACCAGCTGCTGCAACGTAATATGATCTTTACCCCTGGTCCTATTATTTTTCAAAGTATAATATTAATTATATTAAATTTTAAATATTTGAATATAAAAATCATACATCATTTGGAAGAGCTCGTCAATGTCATTTCGAGGACAAATCTTGTGGTATAGAGAGTAGAACTTTTCAAAAGTAAAGGCTTCGATGTCCATGGAATCGCCCTATTAAAAACATATAGGGAGCTTTTTTATTGAGCTGTAGTTTAAGCCATACAAGTGCTTCTCACCTTGCCGCTTGGAAGTCCTAATTCTTGCAAACAAGTCAATACAACCTTCTCAGTTTTTCCAGAGGCAAATGTTTTAATGACAACCTTAACAGGCATCTGACCTTTGGAGTCCACCAAGAAGCGGAGTCTCATCCAACTATAAAAAATTAATTAAAAAAAAAAATAGATTAATTATAACTCACTGTTTCATCAAGCTGATACGGGGACACACATTGCAAGCCTTATTGTTGTGTGTGATGTCTCGCAAACCTTGTTGCCATTTCTAAAAAAAAAAAAAAAAATGTATATTTATTTCTTAAATTATTTTTAATTAATTTTTACTTTGGCTGTCTCTGCATCGGGACAAACAACGTGAAGGTAGTTGATATTGACGTAATCGGCACCGCTGCAGATGGTCAAACTTTTTTCTTCGACCTTTTCTCCGTGATTTTTAATTAAGGTGTTCAGCAGTTTTGGTTGCTATATTTTTATCATTTTTTATAGCCAACTTCATAGAATAAATTATGTTTACTTACAGTAGGCAAACCACCGTAACGGATATCACAAACTTGAGCTAATTCTTGTACATCACCTCCCTGTAAAAGAGAAATAACTTAACGTTGAAAAGAAAAACTTAGTTAAGAAATTGTGCATCAACGCCTGAAATAAACTTGGTATGCAACCGGCAAATTATTTGTGTTGCACAGGTTGCATACTTTTATTTAAATCATTTTATTACCATTATAGTAGCCATTTGGCGATTAATTCTTAATTTTGGAATGGTCTCATTAAATAAAAGAATTTGATTTTTTGTTGAATTAAGCTTTTTGCAGGATTTTAATATATGATAGAGGATATAAATTCTTTTTAAATACCTTGTTCGGGCTTTTCCAGTAGACGAAGAAGCCATAGTCGTCAACTTTGAATGTACACTGCTGTTCATAATCGTACGATTCTTTTTCCTACGAATATACAAAAACACACAATTTATTTTTTATTTAATATAGCTTCTGCAGGTTGAATAAATTAATGCGTACCTCAGTCCATCGGTCGAAGACACATCCCTGCTGAAGAAAATCTGGCACTGGGATGCGCCAATTAAATTCATACTTTTTCGTCATGGTTGGCGGCTGATCTGATCACCAGGACAGGATTTCAAACTGATGCTGCTACTAATGTTTCGCAATTTAATTAAGAAACATTCGTGACTAAAAAGAAGAAGAAAATGAAGAATTAAAAATTATTCAAAATTCCTTTAACATTGACAGACCAAACGAATCGAGCCACGGTGCTTAAAGCACTGAGCAGGGGTTGGCCCGAGACTCTTGCAAGGGGTGCTCACACGAGACGAAGCCCTAGTTTGACACGTGAGGATTCACAACAAGTGAACAACCACCAAAAGGCGGCCACTAATACTGTTATTCTCGGATCATACATTATTATATTTTATTGACATAGATTTCAACGGGTACATTCATATATATTAACTGAGGAATGCTTCTTGAATCACATGCTTGTGGCTAATCATTTAAAAATAACAACTTCTTTGAGTCAGCAGATGCCTGCTAACAAAAAATGCACCTGATTTGAACATTGATTGCTTATCCCAATCCACCAAGGAGAGGGTCGTCAAATAAATCTTGGCTGTCGCTCTTCTCTTGAGGTTTTTGCTGCTGCTTTGGAGGTACTTTGGATTTCACAGCACTGCCAAAAAGATCATTTTCCTCATCATCCAGGTCCCCAAATAAAGCGCTTGACTTCTTTTTTATCAATTCCTGCAAAAAGATAGTGCATTTACAGATGAATGAAATGATATTTTATAAGATCTGAAAAGTTTGAGTAATAATATATTTCATACATACGTTTATACGATTTTTGTTAAAGTACCTTTTTCTTATCAATGATTGATGTCTTTGAAGTGCTAGAAGGCCCAGACACATTGCTGGAAAACAAATCATCAGCTGGGGCTTCTGATTTTGTAGATAATTTTTCCGTGGCCTCTGGCTGTTTTCTTGGCACACTTTTTACAACAGTAGGCGCGCCAAAGAGATCGTTATCGTCATCTTCAGCAAAAAGATCGTGGACAACATTTTTCCTTTCTGTGACTTTGGGCGTGGTCTGAACAGGTTGAGGTAACGGTTTCACTTTATCCTCAACTGCCTGGCTAGGCTTAGAAGCAGGGGACGCAAAGAGATCATCGTCGTCATCATCCTCCCCGAAAAGGGCCACAGGCTCGTTACTGATAACCTGTTTGGGAACCTCCTCAGACGACTTCTGAAATTTGCTTGCTGGTGCTTCCATTGACGAATCTGGTGTGAGGAAAACATCAACTTTGTTTGTCAAGGAACCAAAAGACTCCTCATTAGGCAACGGAGGAGTTTCAAAGAGTAGTTCACCAGAAGAGTCTGGTGTTTGGGCATCCGTGAATATGTCATTCTCAGCAAACATATCAACGCTGGAATTAGCATCAGTATTGGGAGGTGTTTCATTATCACGGAAAATTATTGTGTTAGAAGTATTTCTCTCTAAAGAATCAACTGACTCTGATTCAACACTCCCGGAACTCAAATTTTGTTGAGGCTTTCCTTTTGGTACAGGGCTGTTCGGATCAGTCTGTTGTGTGTCAGATACTGCTGTTTCACCACTGCCAAAAATATCATCATCCTCATCATCAAAAATATTGTTTGAAAGAACTTCAGGTTTCAAAAGGGACTTGCTATTTGTTTTGTTCTCGATGTTTTCAGCAAATAAATTTGATGCCTCTATTTCAACCGAACAAAATAGTCCCTCGATACTTGGACTCTTCTGCTTTTGATTCGGTCTTACAGAAAATTTGTCATCAGCTGGTGGTGACAAAGGACTCACCGCAAATAAATCATTATCAACGGTGATGCCCATGTCTCCAGTTGGCAATGGTGGAGGCTCAAAACTGAATCGCACATCTACTTTGGGTTCACTCATGGTCGGAAGAGGGTCTGAGAAAAGGTAGTCATCATCATCACCGAAAACGTCATCCACCTTGCTCGGAAGCGGAGGAGGTTCGTTGAAAATGGAGGAAGGGCCAAGCGTTGGCACCGAAGATGGCGTTTCTGCTTCTTTTTCACTGGAGCTGGTGAAAATTTCTTCTGGCGTAGGAGCGGGGGACACGACAAACAAATCGTCTTCATCGGTTGCTGGAGAGACAAGGTTGGATGCGAGAGGGTCTGTCGGGCTTTCAGTTGAAGCGGGACGACCCTTTCGAGTTGGAGGTTTTCGTTTCTGTTTGATGCGAATCCGATCCTATGGAATTTGTAAAAAAAAAAAATTGAAATAAATGATTATGAACAACTGAGCCTATACCTTTCCAAGATGAAGGAGTTGACTATTCCTTTTCGGAGCATCATCAAAACTGGCCGTGTCTACTTTTATGGGCTCAGTGCCTGGGGGAGGTGGTGCCTCTTTTTCAGGCGATTTTACAGTTTTTTGTGATGTTTGTGGTGATGGTTCATTGCTGACTTGTGACATGGGTGAGGTTGGGGACATGGGCGTTGGTGTCTTCAAAGGCTTACTTCCAGGGAGAAGGGCCAGAGGGTTAATATTGAGAGCGAGGCCTCTTCGAACAGCACTTTGAGAAGGCGCTGTGAATTAAATTAAAAATTTATTCTTCTCTCAAGAATGAGATCTAAAGATTTAAAACTAGTAAATTTATATGCTAAATAATATTAAATTCAGATTGAAATATTTTTTCATTGATTTTTTTTTTCATTTCAATGAGATTTTTGCAAAATATTTAGAATTACTTGCTAATTTGTATAAAAATTGAATTTTGTTTAATATATACCTGCAATTACTCTGTTGTCATTCTCTTCTGGTTTATTGGTAAGAGGCTCTGGAGTTTTGGGTTTTCCATCAGCCTCTGGAGATTCAAATAAGTTGGCAACTTTAGGAGGCTCTTTCTGCAAATCTAAATGCAGGGCTCTTGCCTCTTTGGGGGGACTGGCAGTGGAAAATACAGATGGCTTTACTATTTTTTCAGATTTTGGTATTGTAGAAGAAACTGGATGAGTGATATGTCTTTCAAGTTTAACAGTGGAATCGACAGAAGTTGTGCTGGGCTCAGACTTATCAACAGGAACACTTGCAACATCTTTTGGTGATGCAAATAAATCTTGCTTGGGAACTTCAGACTTTTTAGGTGCAACCGCAACTGGTTTGAATAAATCTTCACTGTCGTCACTGACGGCTGGAGCTTTGGATGTTGAAAAAATATCCTCATCACTATCTGAATCACCAAACAGAGAAATTTTATTTGACGGTACTATTGCAGGACTTGCAGCTTTGGGGTTGGTTTCATTAGATAGTTTTGACTTGGTAATACTGGTCTCTGGCACTTTTCCACCGATGACTGGATTTGGTGATATTACTTCAGGTGCCTTGGGCTGATTTATGGTAAGGTCATTATCATCCAAGTCATCAAAGAGAGACGTCCTTCCTGAGTCGAACAAGTTATTTTTCTTTTGTCCATCTTCTTTTAAAGGTTTTGGTGGCAGATCATCAAAAAGAGGCATCTTTTTCGGGACCTCTTTTGGAACATTGGAAGCACCGAAGAGGTCTCCATCATCATCTGAGTCATCACTGAAGAGTCCACTAAAAAAAATTGTAGTTAAAAATTGATTGAATTAAAGTTTTATTCTATCCTATAATTTTGTTAGTTTTATCGACAAAACTACGTAAGCTGTTCAAAATGTTTAGTGACACAATTATTAAGTGGGGTTGTCATAACAAGAAAAATCTTGGAATAGTTTAAATGTACCTGCTTTGCTTAACGGGAACTGCAAAAACATTTGAAGCAGCGGGAGGCACCTGAATAACTGCCGCATGTTCATCCAACGAGCTTTTAGATGACGAAGAAGGCTGACGCTGTTTAGGCATTATGGGCTTGTTACCAAAAATGGAAACTGCACCCGGGGGCAACTGCAAAGTTAACATTAATGGAATTTTAACAACTCTGCTTTCAAGGAATCATACCTTTTTGGTTTGCTCCTTGATTGGTTGATTTTCAAGATTCTTCTCACTTGAGCCCATTGTTGAGGGTTGAGCTACAGGCTTATCAAAAAAGTCTTCTTCGTCGTCTCCAAAAAGACTTCCATTGCCCCCGTCTGAAATACAATTATTTTATAGTTACTTATTTCAAACCCAATTTAGTCAAAAATTTTACCTGTGGTTGGTTTGGGTTGCTGTTTTGCTGGAATAGTTTTTTCATCCTTAAATAAGTTCGCCCCAGATCCAAAAATTGAGTCTTCTGCCTCGTCGTCTTCCCCAAACAGTGGTGGTGGTTCTATACCAGTAAAACTAATTGTTAATTTACTATTTAATTGTTAAATAGCTTAACTTTACCTCTCTGAGCGTAAGCTGATATAAGTGATGGAATTTTTGGCTGTGAAACTTCCGCTGCTGGAGGTGTCCCGTTTCCGATAGCTGTGGATAACTCGTTGAGGAAAGACGACCTTTGTGAGGATTGGTTGCTTCTCTGAGTTCCACCAGATGCTGAAAGACCATCTTCTTCACTCGAGATTGGTTCTCCTGAACTGCTTTCCCAGTTTTGAAGCTGTAAAATAGATGTTGTAATCAGAACGTAATTTAAAAAATCAAAAGAGACCTCTTCGACTTGATCTGAAACTGGCTTTGGAACAATCGCAGCAGCAGGTCGCAGTCCAATAAAATCATCCTCCTCAAACTCCTTAGAGCCAATTACATATGGCAGGCTTATGCCATGGTGTGGATTTTTAAGTTGAAAAACACATTGAAGCCTTTAAAGTTAATGAGAATTAGCATTCAAACATTATAAAATTATCCAAGCTCACTTGGAATGTTCATCATCTGATTCATTGGCTTTAGGAACTTCAATCACATCAAAAAACTTGTCAACAAAAGCAAGACTGTTCCTCAAAATATCCTCTTTAGCCAATTTATTACGCTCCTGAAAACGATTTACAATTATTATAAATTTGACTTTTGCTAATAAAAACTTACAGATGTGCTGATTTCCTTCTCCTTGGCTTTTTCTTCGGTAGCTATGACTGGTTCTTCTTCCGCTACTCTATTCTCAATGAACTGTTGGTTGGCAAGAGCAGTAAATGAGTTTGAAATATTTTGAAGGTCGCAGTCGGCCCTGTCCAAATTCAAACACAGATCATCGACCTTTCTTGTGGTGACCTCGGCTTTCTCAATCACGTTCTAAATATTATTTATAATTATTTTGGTACTAAAAAGTTAACAAAGTAATCAATTATCGAACCTTAGATATTTTTACTAGGGCGTCAAGCATATCTGCGTCGCCCTGAAGGCTCCAAGAACCAGCCTGGGCCTTGATTTGGTCTAGATTGCAGTCGTTGCTCATCTTTAGTACACATAAACTGCGCGCCGTTAAATTTTGTTTCTAGCTCTCATTTGGGCTGAACACAAAAATTAAACGCTTGGCTGTAATGCGGAGAGCGAAAAGGGGACAAGCAGGAAGTAGCACCGATGTCCGAACAAGAAGGAGATTTAAAATTCTGCAAGCACCATAACAACAATAAAAATTCAAATATTTAATCAAAATCAGCTGCGAAGAGAAGAAAAAAATATGAAGTAGTAACGTGCTGCCACACGTTTAAAGTTATGTCTTCACATAAAATATAAATTATTGATTTATCATATTATATTTCTATATTTGTTAGATAAAGTCAATATTTCAACGAAAAAAAATCAATAGAAATTTATAAATACAACTTAGTAAATTAACTAATAATTTTGGAGAACTCACATAAAAAACCTTTTCTAGATTACTGGTGATGACAATTAGTTCTGTTATGTTGGCACTTCTAATCACGAGGATCATAAAAAAGGATCACGTGCTTTTCGGCAAGTCGGCTTCTTTCAAGATTTTACTTTTTATTTACATACTTGCGATATTATAAGTGGCTTGACTGCATTGACTGCATTGAGACCTGCTCCTTACTGCGCCCTCGCTGGATTTATGAAAAGAAATGGCATACATCGCGACAGCCTGACGAGAAGAGAGAGTAATTTACATCGAAAAAGAAATTTATTAAGACGCTCTCGATTTCAAGTTTCTCAACACCTCTCACATGCAGATAATGCTGAAGTGGTAAGGCAATCGCGTCTTATTGAAATTAAAATGCACAAAATTACAATTTTTCAGATTTTATATAAATATTGAAAATTTCACATACAAACTTATACTATGTATGTATTTATTTTATAATCTTTGTGTCTTTTCCTATTGCTTTCCAGGTAAATTATGGCGGATCCCACTATCCAAACGTTTTGCTGCCACAGGTCAAACCGGTCAGAGGAGGTCGGACTTCTTTACGAGTTTAACTCTCCCTCTTACAATATTGTTTGTGCTGTTTCTTCGGTTATTGGCGTATTAGGAGCCATTTATCAAGTAAGATGTTTCTTAAAATATTGATGATTGTATTTCACATAACCATGTAATTTAATTCTAGTTGCTACCTCGAGAGGAATTTCATTCAGCTCCAAATCGATGGGTAACATTTCCAATCACCCGTGGACGTCAAATCATCATGTGGCTGGCCGTTGCCGACCTTTTAGCTTCGCTGGGCGTTTTTGTCCGGTCCCTTTTGTGGATCAACTACCAAACTCTCATTCCGACAGGGGGAAATGATGCTAGTCTTATTTTCTGCTTCGCCACTTCGGTAAAAATTGAAGAAGAAAATTGGTTAATTTAAATGATATTTTTGTATAGGCATGGATAGAGTACTTCTATATGTGCACATGGCTGTGGACTCTGTGTTACGCAATTGACGTTCGACTTGTCCTGAAAGACAAACAAGGCCAACCGTGGCTGTACCACCTATTTTCGTGGTCAATTCCAGCTGCTCTGACTTCTGTAGGTCTATCAATTCTTTACATTCCAAATGCAAAGTAAGGGGTTTTCACTGGATTAATAAATTTACTAGGCTCATTTTTGTACATTTTTGCAGTTGCCACAGCTTAGACTCAAATGCCTTTGCTCGAATTCTGCCCAATTATTGTGCCACGTACTTTCCAATTGCAATTATTATGATTGCCAACCCTGTCCTTTATGCGGCCTCATCTAAGGACGTTACCCTCCAAGCAGCCAGGGTTCTTGGACAATTTACCAGCAGGTTTGTTTGGTGATTCATTTTTTAGATATTTTTTAGTAGCACTTATAAAAAAATATAATGCAATTAAGGTAACAAATAAATTTAGCAAACTTCAATTAATTATCATTTGATCATAACATAATATCTGTATTTGCATGGTTGAGAGTTGATTAAGGTTGAATTTAATTAAAAATCATTATCTAGCCAATAATATAATATCAGGACATAGTTGAAAATTGTTTTGTGTATTTAAATTAAAGTATATTATATTAGAAAGTTATCAAATCACAGACAGCTTCAAGGATAACGTCTAAATGTCTCTTATAGGATATTTTTTGTATCAATACTTACCGCTATGTTGATGACCTTGATGTAAGATATAGACAGAAAATCTGAAGCGAATATACTTTTCCTTATCAATTATATTTAGACACAAGGCTAAAACCAGTTTAACTTGTTTCAGCTAAATTATTGGAATCAGTTTGTTTTTTCCTTTTTTTGCAGAGAGCGAGCCTTAGTTGATGCTGTGCGATTTAAGTTTTTCGCTATCAACGCAGCCTTCTACGTTTGCTGGTTGCCTAATCTGATAAACGGTCTGCTCCTGTGGACGCTGTGGTTTGCCCTGCCGGTCCGAGTGGTCATCAGTCTGTGGTACTTGATGGCGTTGACCAACCCCATGCAGGCTTTGCTCAACAGTTTTGTGTACCGTCGCTGGAAAGGTCAGCCTCAACGACTCTACATTCCATGCCGCGCCCTGTCCAAGGGAGAAGCGTCTCCTTGTGAGGACACGCCTTTACTTCTCAGTCACGAGTCTCTTCGGGCAAACAGAGGAGCTTCGATTAACGGTTGCGCCTCGACATGAAACTGCTGCTGGTAAGGTTTTCTTGCCCTTTTTGATGAATTTAACTTGTTAAAATTGAGACTGAATTTTAATCTGGCAATTTTTCTGCCAAGTTTTCAATAATATTTAGCAATTATCAGCTAATTTATAATTTAAGAGAGGAAATTAAAATTTCAATCACAAAATTCATTGATAAACAAGCAGCTAAGAATGAACGAAAAATGGAAGCCAATCAAAATATTAAAATTCAAGACATATTTTTATATGTTGTACTATTGTACTTAAAAATATATTTACCACTTTGAAATTTATCAAATTATTGTAATATCTAACCCTTAAGTTAGCCAAGTTAATTATTTTTGCCCAAAACTAACAGTATTTCCATTACACCTCACTTTGTAACTTCCTAGCTATAATATAAATTAATGAAATGAATCAAAATCTTAAGTCCACTGCATTTCTTAAGAGATTACGTTTTACTCTCTAAATTTAAACGTTAGGCTTCGTCTGAACTTATTTTTATAAATATTTTTGCACATTTGAATTAAAGTGGCAAAAAAATGTAGTTATGTTATGTCGAAATTTTAGTAAATAATCATTACAATCCAAAAAATTTTAATTGCAAAATTTTATTTCTTCAAAATTTTCCAAAATGAGTATAAATTACAAAAGTGGGTCATACATATAAAATTGCGGACGCGCAAATACAACAAACTCACTTGTCCTGCTTGACGTTGGTGTACCTCACAAACAGCTGCATCACCATTCTGAAATAGTTAATTAATCAACTATTATTATTTCATGGTATGTTTAAAATTTTAGTTTTTTTTTCACTTGAACACATGAAGCATTCCCTTTCAATCAAATTTTATGGAGATTGGGTGAAAAATTACCTGCAGACTGACAGTAGAAGCACAGCAACGACTGCAACCAGAACGCCAGCTTTTATCAAGTGAAATTTGCTGATTGAGATTTCACACTCGTCAGAAAGGCATCCAATGCACGTGCAGTTCTGTTTGCAAACAAATTCATCAAAATAATGTTTGTATGCAAAATGAAGGAGAAAAATTAATTGATATAAATTTAGTTTAATCTGAATTTAAAATTTTTTTAACTAAAAGTATATCTGTCACTTTTTGATAATAAATTAAATTAAATTTTAAGATTGGAAAGTCAGAAAATTTCTTGCCCATATATATTTTGCCTTGTGTCTGCGTTAAATTTAAAAGTATTAAAGCATGATTATCAAAATTGAATTTGAAATATTGGAAATTTGATCAACAAATTTAAAATACCTTGCCAGTTGCATTGTTCCACGAAGATTCAGTGTAATTATCAAACGGAGGCATGTTGATTCAACTTAGACTTGCTAAGACGCTGTCCACTCTAGCATAGAATACTGTCAGGCGGTTTGCTGCTCAAGGGACCGTCTCGCTGCGGGTCTAATAGAGCACTAGCTTGAGACAAGCACGACCAAGCGCTGCTCAGTACTGAGGAAAGATCTCGAGTAAAATATAGCCAAGGGAAAAAACATAATTAACGATTTCATCTCTTTTTCTTCCGTAGTTTTCCATTGCAGCTTAATTTTAAAGGATTTCCTAAATTTATTAAATTCCTAGAATTTTATCAATTTTTTCTCGCAAGATTTTGTAGTCGAAAGTATTTGAAGGTCACATAAATTTTGCAAATTGATGAGTGCTCTGCTTTTTGTTGCTCGCAAGTCTTCCGAGCCTTCGGGGATGAAGAGTGAAAAATTTTGAAATATTTATGGTAGCGCCCTCTTGCAGACTATTTATTTTGGTTTTCACTGATGATGAGAGCAGTGGATTTTTGGCGGACACACTTTTATTGTTATGGGCACAAGAAGAGAGCGGCTTTGTGCCGACTTTGAGAACAAATTGACAAAGGGCCGTGTTTACAATGTTCTATTCCTGGAGGCCAGATGGGCCGGTGTTATTGTTTGGCCCCGTAATATCCGCCGCCAACTTTATGGGTCTCTTCTGGCATGCTCCTCTTGCTGCCATTTTTGCCACTTTTCTGTCGTAATTGCAACCAATACTGCTGCTGGCACCATCCGCCAAGCTCGGCTAATGAGTATGCAACCCGCGCCGCTCGACTGTTGAGCACATTGCCTATTTCGTTGTCCACAGGCTGAAACTCATTTTCCTGTTCTTTTTTTATAAAATAATAATATAAAATAAATAGTTGCCCTAAATTCGAACCCAATAAACACTTCTTGAAACTGAAATATGAATTCACGCTTATTATTGATATAGTTTAAAATTACAGTTCAAATCACTCTTTAGAATTATTTTTCTAGCTCCAACTCATTCACATAAAGTTTAAAATTTTTTCTACTTTTCCTAATAATAGATACGCCTTCAGAAAATGCATTGTAATGAAATATAATATTTTGGTTTCAATAAATTATTATTATAAATTCATTATGTTTGAATTGCTCTAACTTTTGATCGCGTTTTTTGTGCCCATAGTTCTGCTAATTTTTATTTTGCATCATTATTCATTTTGAATATTGCTGGAATCATATTATATCTAACAATAAAATTTTGCCAGTAAAGCAAAATGAGGAGGATTGATGACACCCAGGACTAGATTTGCGCATCAAAACAATGAAACGTGCTTTGATTGTTGTTTAAGATTTAAAAAAAAAATAGTTTTACCCAAACGGAACAATTAGAATTTATAAAATGCGGACAGTTAAGGGCAACGTTCACGCTTTCAATTCAAAATTTACAAAATTTCCAAGCATACCCAATTGGATATTTTTTTGTTTTTAAATTTTGCTTCTCACTGATGTTTGTGTTGAGAAGATAAGTATTTTGATGTTGTTTTGTATACAAAATATGAAAATATTCAATAAATTGATGACTACTTGGGCTCAGATATTTTTATTGAAAGTCGGAAAGCAGCCACAGTTACACAAAACAACTTAATAATTTACTCGGGAATAATAAGATCTGCGCAAATATGTCTACCGCCTCCTTTGCTCGTCTTCACTTTGCTTGTCTGAAATATTAGATAAAATATTATGGTTTTTTTCACAAAATGTTTTTCAACTCTGACCTCTTCCAAAGCGCATGAAGTTGTTGTTATCGAGGCCGCCTGATGGTCTGCCTAAGCGGACCATTGGCGCTCCATTGACGGCCACATTTGGCCGCTCGTCGCTTTCTTCACTCTCCATCCGACCGAATCGCATGAAGTTACCATTGTTGTCGCTGTTCGCTCGGCCGAATCTGATAAAATTTGCTTTGTCGTTTGGCGGGCTTGCTTTTCCGAATCGCATGAAGCCATCCGTTGATTTCCCAAATCTAAATTTCATAAAAATAAATTAAAAAACTGTTTTTAAATTCCATTTTTTTTAAAACCATACCTCAGGAAATTGTCTCCGCCTCGTCCGAAACGCATGAAGTTTTTGTCGAGGGCGCTGCGTCGCGAGAGAAGTTCAATGTTTCGAAAAGAGTCGGCCCGCTTGGAAGGCTCCGAAGCTGCGTCGGCCACAGCCATCGCCAGAAGCAGCACCAGCCAGGCGTGCATCTGCAAAAACACATTACGGTCAAAATAAACGATTGCTGTGAAAACTTCCGGACAGGGTTTGCTCATTAAATATGTACTCGAGTACACTACACTGACAGGAGGGCATTAAAATCATGAAGGACATTTCATCCATAATGTTAGAAAAAAATGTGCAGAAAGAATTTTCGAGGCTAAAATTGGCTTAGGCTGCGGCCAAATTAAAACTGATCGTGATGTAGATATTTATTTTTAACAACGTATTTGGATTAGAAAATCATTGTTCATTTAATATACTTATTTAAGTATGAAAAACTTGAAATTTATGCTCAATGAAGATCATATTGAAAATTAAGTTTTTAAAATCAACTTATTTCATGAAAACTGCTTATTCTCATCAAAATTGATCCAAAGTCTACTAATTTTTATCAATTTTAAAACTTTTTGCTTTTCATAGAAAACCTTTACCTTTTTGACTCAAGTATTTTATAATTATTTCAGAACTTCTCCTTAAATTGCGCATGTAACAAAAATTTTAAACAAAACAAAATAACAAAAATGCTAAGTTTGAGTAAAAAATGTATCTTTTATATGAAAGTTATAAAATAATGCTTTTTTTACAAATAAATTTTACTTTTTACTCAAAAATATTTAAATAATTTTGCAACAAAATAAAAATCTAAAGATAGTTTGAAACATCTGTGAAAGGAATCTCGTCGTTTTTTTTCTAATAAATCACGTTGACATGAATCCCTAATCAAAACAAATAAAATGTGACGAACGAAATTTGCTCCATTGAAAATTGTCATAAGAGAGAAAAACCTTAAAAAAGGATGCCATTCTTACTTTTGTTAAATCTGTTCTACTTTATCAAACTGATTGTAATAACAATTTAATTAATTACTCAGCCTTTTATCGTTCCTTCGTAGAGAACTTTTGCGTCGTTGTTTTTTTCCGCAAGGGATTCAAGTCTAGTGACGCAGCCATGAATGCGTAATACGAGCGTTTTTCTTTCTACTTTACATCTTAATAGATTTTTCACGCTGCACGCTCCCTGATGGGGAAAAGTTGTTCTTCTTCAAGTGCGGCAAACTATAGTCCCTTGTTGCGCAGAGCCGCGAGTAAAACCTGAGAAACTTTCTTTCGTTCAAAGTGCGTGCACCTCTAGCCAAAGAGCTTGTTCGCACCAATCCTCAAAAAAGAAGTGACGTCAACGTACATCAAATTTCAAGAACAAATAGCCACTCACGTATCTTATAAAGAAGTTGCAAATTAAACTTTCCCAGAATTTCCCCATCGAAAGAAATCCTTGAAGGTGTCAAGTGTCATTTGGCTTGGCCAACTCAATTACAACGCCCAGTTTGTAATTCCTGCTCTTTTGCTCAGCGGTCCGCTTACAAATAATTTGCGCGTGATAATGGGGTCCCGAGGGAGACTATTGTCTAGTTCATTATCTCTTCCAATTAGCTACCAGCGTCGCATTTCACAGCACTCGGGCGTCAAACGTGCTCTATCGCTATTATGAGCCAAAAAATTGTGGCGACGCTTTCCCACGCAACCGCAATTATTTATCCACCCATGCAGTGTGAAAAAGGCACTCATTTATCCACAACGTTTATCAATATTGGCACTCGACTTCAAATTTAGAGCTCCAAACATTGTTATCATCGATATCCGAATGGCTTTTCCTCTCACAATTAATGACATTGATAAATTAAACTTGTTCGCTCGTATGCATACGCGATGCTTGTTAATTTTTAACACACAAAAGAGGTGGTCGTTTGTTACGCAACGTTTGTTGCTCGGTGGTTTTGCGCAGAGAGAGCCAATTATATATTCGAATGTGTTGGCTTTTTTTTAGTGCTAAGAGTTCAAACGAATCGATGACCACTTTGGCGAGCATTCCGTCGTGTGTTCATTAATCATTTTTGGATGCCAGCGGCATTAGCGTTTTTTTTTTCAGTTTTTTCCCTTTGTTTGATGATGAGGAAAACGCATTTCTATGTTTTTGTCTTTGTCACAAATATATCCCACCTGGGGCGAGACGCTGACGCAGTTTTAAGGGAAAACACAAAATTTATACTAGCTTGACTTGTAAAAAAACTCACCACGGAGTCGCAAACACCAGTCGCTCGAAAACTTTTTTAAAAAGGCAACACTTTTCATCATTCATGCATACGTGACCCCAGCTTATACAAAATGTGGTGAATGCGAAATGAGTGCACGACGTTTTAGTGCGGCGTATGTTGCTTCATAGAAAGGGTTAATTGCGCACCCGCAATAAACGGAAAGCGATGAATTATTAGCAAAGGTTGCTTTGAGCGCTTAAGGGTTCACAGCAATGTGTGGCGTTTTCATTTTGCATGAAAGAGATTTGCGTGCTGCGTGCATTAGTCTCCATTGAAAAATCATAACGCTTAAAGGTAAATCTGTTTGTACAGAGGGTTGAGATCTGCTTCGGGCAAATAACACAAAAGCAAGTGATAAATTTAAAATAATATTGTTCAAAAAGGAGGGCGCTCTAAAGAACTTTGAGTAGCATTGGAATACACGTAACAAAATTGAAAGTTTAACATTTTATATTAGGAAAATAAGGTAAAAGGCGTTGAATGATTACTTCTGACGAGTATTGATTTCGTGAATTTTTTTTTCTTAGAATTATTTAAGAAAACTAATAACTAAGAATGGGATGAACAAGTTTTTTTTACACATTTTTTTTTTTTGTAAACGAAAAGATTGATTTCTTTAAACCTTTAACAAAGATTTTATTTTGATAATCGTAGTTAAAATTAAAGATACCGTTTTAGTGGCAAAAGTTGGTGGATGAAACAATATGGGGCAACAGGTGCTCCGTTTATATATACTTGCCTTGATGTTCGTTGGGTCGAGGCGGGTGTGGATGCTGAGCTTGGCGGGTTGCAGCATTTATAGGCGCATCTCTGGATCCACCCTCGCGTCCTCCTCACTCGCCACCTCATTGTGCCTCCACAGAGGTGGGAGGAAAATTCGCCCCAGGCTAATTAATTATTTTCTGCGTACACTCTCGCCCCCTGATGATTTATTGCGTCTCACTTGCAATTTATAATTTTAATGCGCGCAAGTAAGATCCTCATTGTAGCTGTTGCTATAATGAGGGCGATGAAGGGTGAGAAATTCATGGTCGTTAAAATCGAGTTTCAAAAGAAGGAGATCATCAGACCAACCTTGACAAATACATTATGTTTCGAGTTCTAAAATTCGTTTAGAGTAAAGGTTAATTGATGCAGATTGCGGCTTGTCATTTGGATTAAATTTAATAAAGAAGAGTTAGGCGGAAAATGAAAATGATGAAATTAATCAAGACTAGGTCATCATTTATTTTAATTTACACCGAAAATTTTTCAAGAAATAAAGAAGAAAAATATGTACACCCTGCAGGACACAGATGTTTGCGTTATTTACTTCGGAAATAAACGCTGAAAATTTTCTTCTTTCTATAATATTAATTGTATAAATAAAATTTCCTGCGCGCTTTTTGTTTTTTAAAACCTTTCTGTGAGTGATCCGCGCAGTTTCTTTGATTTATTTTCACTAACGTTTTGAGAGTCACATTAACAAAAATTAATCGCAACACAGAAAAAACGCTGAATTTATTTTTATTAATGCTGTGCAGTTTTGAGAGTCAAATTAAAAAAAAAAATGAATCCATTTCTCTCTTCATCAATTTCCCTAAGATAATTTAAAGAAACTGCGTGGATTTACAAACAGTAAAGTATTTTCCCAGTCTAAATTTTAGGTGAAATCTGCAACCCTAAGTCAGTAAGCAAGGAAGCCACGTCATAAACGCAGAAAGCGCAAGTTTGATTATGTCATCAATCATGGTAATAACAAGCCAATAGCAGTGCGTGACGATTTATTATTATCCGTTCGAAGCTTTGGTTATAATGGAGTCGAAAGTCGTCAACAGTGTGGGTGCGAGGATGGGCCTTGTTTCGAACTGCGGTTTGTGTTGACAATGCACGCGCGCATCTCACCCGAGATTAAGATTTGGAATATAAGCGCATGATTAATGTTCGTCGAGGTTGGATTAGTGGCTGACAATGGGAGGCTATTGTTGGTCTTGCAGCTTTCAGCTATGATTCTGTGAAATATGAAGTGTGCAGCTTCAGGTCAAAACGTACTATAAAAGCGGAGAGAGAGAAAGAGTGCAAGGAGCTGAAAATCAAACACTTTTCCTTAACTATCTGATGGCAATAAAGGCAATATCTTTTATATTTTGAGGCAATATAATCTCTTTACTAGGTCAAGGAGGGATCGAAGATCTGCTTTGAATTAAAAAAAAAAAAAAATTAATAATGTAAAAAGGACTGAAAAGGGTTAGTGCGGGTTCATGTTTTGTAAAAGAGAGTTAAAAAATCTACCATGTGGACCAGTTTGCAGTTTATCGTTTATCACAATTTTGAAGTTTCATTTAAATTTTTAAATCAACAAAAAAATGAATTGCATAATATGAAAACACCACTGCATAATTCTTTGTAACATTTTTTACTTATACAAATAATTTAAACAAAGTTTTGCTGTCATAGTTTTATTTTTTCTTCCTCAATTTTTTTAACCTCCATGCACACTCTCCTTAAAATTTTATTTAAAGCTCTGGTTTAAAGTTCTGAAAAAAATTATAAATGAATAAATGATCATTTAAGAATAGGAATGGAAATCATAATCTTACAAATTTATAAATAAGCGTCTAGCGGCGAATTTGCAGCTCCTATATTTTACAATTTAATATTTTTTAATTTTTTTTTCAGTCATTAATTCTGAAAGCATTACGTAATCTTTCTTGGGGATGCTTTTTAATTTCACCTTCTGTTAATTCACTGCAAAGAACAAAGACTTTCATATTTTTATTTTGGAATTCCCTGCTGAACTGAACACGGAGCCGCTGCCGTCAGAATTAAAATAATGGAAATCGGCACGATGCTGTGCCGCCGAGCAGATTCCTCTTCGCGCGCTCCGATTGTTGCTCCGAATTCACGTACGCGTTTTCCGCAGTCTGCACGCATGCGCACTAGTTTTAGCAGAATGGCTGTGTTTCTGTTTTGCTGAATGTGTGTTGTTTACTACGCCAAAAGCAAACTGCAAAAAGAGCTCAGTTCCTGAATTCGCGAGTCGGATTTCGCGCGAGAAGTTTCGCGGTCAACTTCTCAACTCTTCCTACTGTTCGAAAGCCCACAGGCGCTCTGCAGGACGAATACTCGCAGATTTCTTTCGAGTCGTAATCCGGCTGAAGGCACGGCCGGTCCGGAATGGCGTTGGATTTTGGAGATGAAACCTGGAAAAAATGGGACAGTGCCGGGCGTTCCGACTTGTAAGATTGTTTGATGTTTATGAATTTTTAATTTAAAATTTATTGCAGTATCGGAGCGGTAAAATCCGTCCTCTCCGAAGAGTCCGACGACCGTCTTGAAAAAGCTGGAAAAGCAATATGGGAGCTTGTTATGCGTGGCCTTGATGGCACCCTACGAAGAGAATCAATAAGTTCAACTATTGGAGAAATTTTGGTATGTTTTATATGTCGTGATGACCAATGTAATTAGTATTAGATACAAATTTATTTTCGACAAATTCACTCACAAATTGCATCATTTTTTCAGGCTTCCAACCCTGCAGCTGCAGGTGTTATCACTGACGTTTTGAATGTTGTTGACATAGAAACGGCTTGTGAAGGTGACTCTGCCAAAAGGGACAAGTTTTACGCTATTACGAGAGATGCTGAACAGGTGCTGCTTAATATTCTATAAACTTAATCTTATTCCCAATTTAAATTTTAGCACTTGAATGAAAAGCTAATGAAGGAGAGACTAGAAATTGAAACGCTTCAAGAAGTTGGCACTGTAAAGAATAAAAGTTTCTACACACGATTTATCAAGGTCAAAACGAAACTTTAGTAAGTTGCCTTTTTCAGAACTGGCAGATTTTTACAATGAATGCTTGTTTTAGCTACAAGCAACGCAAGTTCAATCTTCTTCGGGAAGAAAGTGAAGGCTATGCCAAATTGATCACTGAACTTGGCCAGGAAATCTCCGATGAAGTTACTCCAGAGATCATTTTGGAGGTAATCAAGTCGTTGATTGGCTGCTTCAACTTGGACCCAAATCGCGTATTGGACATCATCCTCGAGTCCTTTGAATGCCGTCCACAGCATGATGAGTTTTTTATACCGCTTATTTGCTCCTACATGGGAGACAGAAAAATATTGAGTGAAGTTCTTGGCTACAAGTTTACTTTATACCATTCTGGACTTGGAGAGACGGAAAAATCGGACAGTGAGCCTGTTTACACGCCAACTTCTCTTTACACCGTCACAGCTTTGATGCTGAAACACGACGTTGTCAGCTTAGATGATATATATGGATGGGTAAAATTTTGCAAAATTTAAATAAACCAATGATAATGAAAAAAAAATCAGCTTTTGCCAGAAGACAAGCAGATAACATCAGCTTGGGAAAAAGAGATGGCCGATGCCAAAGAGTACGTCCGAAAATTGAACATCATTTCAACCAAGGACAAAGAAGAGACTCCAGAGGAACCAGAGCCACCTTGCCGAAAGGTCAATGTGAATCAGAAGTTTGGCTTGTGCGAGGCTCTTTGCAGAGTGGGGGCCTGGTCACATGTCCAAAAGCTGTTCGATCGCATACCCGAGACGTGCCTCATGTCACAGCCCTCTGTGGCCTTGGCGTTGTGTGAGCTTTTGAACATCCTGGTCGATCCTGTTTATAGAAAGTATGTTAACATAAATGTTAATAATTATTTAATTAATTTTCTTTACCACAGAAACTTGGGAAGTTTGTCTGGTGTTGTAAAGCAGTCATTGAAAATCTCAAAATCGATTCAGAAATCGCCTGCACCTGCACAAACCTTTGCAGACATGAAAGAGGTCATCATACCCATGCTGCTGTCGTTAGGGCCTTCCCTGCATCTCGATCCTGTGCTCTTGTGCAAAATAATCAGATTATCAAAAGCATCACTATCAAACGTAATTTCCTAGATATTTTTTTCAAGACATTTTCTCTAACTATTTTCCTTCCAGTCTGGTGGGAAAAAAGAAAACGTCCAGAACAAGATCATGTATTTTGATGTCATCACTCTGCTTGATGAAGTGCTGCTTCCATCTCTCTCGTACATGGAGGCAAACTGCAGTATTGCTGAGGAGATCTGGAGTCTCCTAAAGTTGTTGCCTTACCAACAACGCTACTGCCTCTACGTCAGGTGGAAAAATGAGTCTCATTCTAAACACCCGACTTTGATGATCAAGCGAGGGGATGCACTCAAGAAAATCAAAAACATAATGAAGAGAGTCAGCAAAGAAAATGTCAAACCAGTTGGCAGGTCCATAGGAAAGCTGACGCACAGTTCGCCTGGTTTCTTGTTTGATTACGTAATAACCTTGACAACATTTTTAACGTGTCTATAAAATTTTTGGAATTTCATAGGTTGTGACCCAGATTCAGGTGTACGACAACTTGATCATTCCCGTTGTTGACTCGTTAAAGTATTTGACCAGCTTGTCGTATGATGTTCTTGGCTGTTGCTTGGTTGAGGCTCTTTCTCAGGCAGACAAGAAACGTTTCAAACATGATGGCACAAGTATCTCTTTATGGCTACAAAGCTTGGCAAGTTTTTGCGGTGCCGTCTTCAAAAAATATCCCATTGATTTGGCTGGACTGCTTCAGTACGTTGCAAATCAGCTGCTAGCACAGAAGAGGTAAATTGCTTTAGTTTTTCAGGGGCATTTTATTTATTAAAATCCTTTTTATTTTAAGCTTGGATCTTTTGATTGTGAAAGAAATTGTTCACAAAATGGCTGGAGTTGAGGCCGCAGAGGAACTGACTTCAGATCAGTTGGAGGCCATGTGTGGAGGAGAGCTATTGCGAGGAGAGGCTGGCAACTATGGCCAAGCAAAAAATACCAAAAAATCATCAACTCGACTGAAGGAATCCCTCACTGAGCAGAATTTGGCTGTGGCCCTGTGCTTGCTGATGGCTCAACAGCGGTATTGCGTCGTTTATAAAGAAACAGAGCAGAGTCATCTCAAGCTTGTGGGAAAACTTTTTGATCAAGTAATTCTTTTTCACTTTCTTAAGAGCAAAATATTAATTAACGACTATTTTTAGTGTCAAGACACTTTGGTGCAGTATGGTACATTCCTTGCCGCAAGTCTGACCATCGAAGAGTACAACTCCCGACTTCCACCCATCAGCAATCTCCTCTCGAAGTACTACATCCATTCTGATGTTGCATTTTTCTTGGCCCGACCCATGTTCAACCATGCCATCAATGTAAGTTATCAAAAGTTTAAAAAGAGAAAATGTTTAATTTAAAAATTATTAACACAGAACAAGGTTGACAACCTGAGAAGAGCCCATCCAAATAGCAAAAGCTTGACCGTGGCAGAGAAACATGAGCTTTATATCGAAGCATGTGAAATTGTCCTGAATCCAGTTGTAGAGTCTGTTCGACCTCTCCATCCACCAAAAGTCTGGGAAGACATTTCTCCCAACTTCATTGTCACGTTCTGGTCGCTGACCTCCTATGATCTCTATGTTCCTGTTGACGCTTATCAAAGGGAGGTTGATAAGATGAAGCAAATAGCTCAGCAGCAAGCAGACAGTAAGGAGGGAAGCTCTGGAAAAAACAAGCGAGAGCAAGATAAGACGCTTGCTTTGGTCGAAAGATTGCAGGACGAATGGAAGAAACACAACGAGCACGTGGACAAAATAATGGCCAGACTTAAAAAGGTAATCAGATATTCTTAAAAATGTATACAGTGTAAAAAAATGTAAATATTATTTTAACAGGAAAAGGACACATGGTTTCTATCCAGATCTGCCAAGTCTGCAAAGAATGAGACGATCACTCAATTCTTGCAGCTTTGTGTATTTCCACGCTGCACTTTCACTGCCCCTGATGCCCTGTATTGTGCCAAGTTTGTTGAGGTCATTCATAGCCTGAAGACGACAAATTTCACAACCCTCTTGTGCTACGACAGGGTAGGCTGATCAAAAGATTTTATGCTTAACTTTTTCTTATTTTGTTTGTTCTTTTTAGATATTTTGTGATATAACCTACATGGTGACATCATGCACTGAAAACGAAGCCAACCGCCTGGGCCGCTTCCTGTGTGCCATGCTGGAAACTGTGACCCGCTGGCACAAAAATAGGGAGACCTACGATGACGAGTGCGCAAATTTTCCAGGGTTTGTTACCAAGTTCAAAGTAAGCAACCAGTTTTCTGATGCTAATGACCACGTGGGATACGAAAACTACCGTCATGTTTGTCACAAGTGGCATTACAAAATCACAAAAGCGTTGGTCGTCTGCCTCGACTCCAAGGACTACGTTCAAATCCGCAACTCCCTCATCATACTCATCAAAATCCTGCCGTTCTTCCCTGTCCTGGTTAAACTGTATCACATTATTGACGCCAGAATAGAGAAGGTAAAAATACATCATATTATAACGTAATGGCTTGTACTGATTAAGCTGCTCAGGTGCGGAACGAGGAAAAGGACAAGCGCCAGGATCTCTACATTTTGGCTACCTCGTACAGTGGCCAGCTGAAGGCAAGAAGTTCAAAGATGATTCACGAGAAGGACTTTCACCTAGTTTCAGAAAAAGTAAAGATTTTAATTACTTTGTGGATTATGCTTATTGAATAATGATTGTAGCGTGCTGGAGAAGGTGTTGCGACAAAAGTCGAAGTCAATACAGGAGAAGGATCAAAGAAGCCCGAAGCCAATGGCACTACCAGTAAGTTGACAGTTGATTCGTGCATAAAGCCAAAATCTTTACACTGAAATCTTAAATTTTTTAGGTGACACCAAAAAGGTCATCATCACTGTTAGTAGCCACTCTGGTTCAAAGAGGTACATTTATGAAAAAGAATAATCTTACAAAATGCTAATATAAATTTTTGTTTAGCTCTCGCAAAGTGGAAACTACCACCAGTCAGAGGAAAGATGATGGAGAGAGGAGGACCAAGGAACGAAGGGACCAAAGGGTACTTACCATAAAATTGACAATTGAGCATCAAAATTGAGCTTATATTTTGCAGGAGTCTCCAAGTACCAACAAGTGGGACAGAGAAAAGTATGACGAAGGAAGTAGCCGATACAGAGACAATGCTGATGGCGAAATGAGCAGTCTATCCAATAGCAGTCCTTCAGCCTCTCGGTTGAGCCAAGAACCTGACCCAGGTAATTTAATTCAATGTCTCAAGTTTATTGCAATGGATTGAGAATTTCAAATTCGCAGATGCTAAGAGGCGCAAAACTGAATCTTCCGCGAAGGTTAGTATTGAGGTGACATAAGCAAGTTGTGAGGCTGGGATTGAAAGCTTGGGAAATGGCCACGAGCGAGAGAGCAAGAACCCTCCAGTCAATGAAGAGGGAGGAAACAGAAAGTTGCAGCTTAAGTCATTCCTGTTAGAGTCAGAGAGGGTGTGCACTCGTGCAGCACGAAACGAGCGCTTCGATGGATCACCGGATTAGAAATCACAGTTGGCGCGCTGCGTACTTGTTTTTAAGAGACTAATTCATCAAAATGCTGTTGGAATGTAATTTCAAAGAAATGTGTTTCAAAGTGCCTGCCCACCTTTTAAGTGTGCACAAAATGAAAATTATTGTTGATTGTATCCCCGCAAGATGTATTTGAGCTGCATTTGTGTGTAATTTAAAGCCGTGGATGCGTTCGTTGAAGATTTGGCTAGCTGTCAACTTATCTTGCAATCGGGTACACCCTTGTCTGTCCACAGAGGTCAGAAGCTGACGATAAGGCCGACAAGAAAGAAAAATCCAAGGCAAAGAGCAGTCGGGACGAAGACAAAGATGCCAGGAAGGAAAGAAAAACTAACCGGAAAAGGGTGTGTATAGATGAAACCTAAAAGTTCCAAATCGAATTGTTTAATGCCTTGCAATAAAAAGCAGGAGAGAACTGATGAGGGAGCCACGACGTCGGAAACAACAAAACGCCGCAAAGATGATGAGAGAAGTGCGTGACTTCTACATTACTTGTTTCATTTTTCAATATTTATATACCACAGGTAGTAAAGCCCAGAATGGGGACCAGGACAGGCCGAGGTTCAGCAGGGAGCGATCACCTTACAGCAGAGAGCGATCATATGATGAGCGGGACAAACAATATCCTTTTCACTGTTAATTAGTATAATATTTTAAAATTCTTTTTTATAATATTGCCTATTTGTCTTCAAATTCACTTTATTTATAATTGTCATTTGCCATATTTTCTTTGACCAAATGATTACCAGACGCACAACTGAGAGTAAGAGTCGGAGATGATGTCCATCTGATGGCGATGAAATATCTGTAGAGGAATCTATTTGGAAAAACAATTGAAAAAATATAACTTTTTGCTTTTTTCACCCCAAATGTACTTAAATCGTTTTATTTTGACTGAAAATTTCAACTTCCTTACAATTGGGGAGCATAAAATGAAAAAACATGATATTACAAGACACAGGCTTAATTTATTTTTTGCTATGTATCAGTGTATTACAATCAACTTGCTGAAATAAGACGTGTTTAGTTGCTAGATAAGTAGCACAACCAAATACAAACGTTTCCAAAGAACAAATACTGAAGGAACTCAACACTGCTCCTGGCGCAAATTAAGTGCATATATTTTTGGTTGACTAGCTACACATAACTTGTGAAAAAATAGGGTGCAACAAAAGTGACTGAAATTTCTATGTGAAATAATTTATACATACAGTGATTGCACAGGAGAAAAAATTAAGGGAAACTTACTCCAAAAATAGGAACAATACTTATAAGACATTATGTTACTTCTAAATGCGTCCTACGGTGATTTACATTTTATGGTTACATTTCTAATTAAGTACATTACATCATTACATAAAAAATACTTTAGTTAGATACGTACACGAACACTGCTGCAAGACGTATCAGTCTTTGCAAATACATTCTCGACATCAGTTACTTTTGTTTAATACAAACGTGGTTACCTCAAAAAGTCCTAAATTGAAATCCTTTTAGTGACTTTTTAACTCAAGACTAATAATTTATCAAGTTTTATTGTATGGAGGCGTTCTTAAACAATTAATATATGCATTAGCAATACTGCAAAACTGTTTGGCCTAACTGAAAAATTTTGTATATGGTTTTAGAAAATTGTTTCAGTAAAAATTTCTCAATCACAAGTGTCCAAAAAGTACACACATGATGGTGTTGCATAACCAAATTTAGAAATCCACAAATTAAAAATCACCCACAACAAAACATCAATAACACAAGCATGGTTATATCTCTCTTTGGCAAGTTCAACAATACTAATTGTACTTCTTTGCCATCAGTTCAGAATGACTTATCGTTTTTTGCCCATTAATAAATTATTGTCGCAATCCAACTCATCAGCACAGCATCAACGTGGGTTTTCAAAACATCCTCCACGCGTGCCACACAACAAACGTAATAAGTCGCTAACAAATTACTGTTTCTGATTTTCATATTGTCAAGCACTAACGTGTTTGTTTTCGTTTTTCAATGTATAAAGAGTTATACCAAGAAAAATGGAAGAGTTTTTATCATGTAAATATTTTCATAATATTTCATCAATTTTGTTGTAGTTCATCATTCACAAGTAGAGGTAAAATATGTCACATTTACATCAATTAATATATCATTTTGGTTAAGATACATGATTTCTTCTTCTTCAAATTCTAACAACTGCATTTTTTTTGGTGAATACTGTCTCCTCACGTAGACAAATCTGCATTGAGAATGTTGCTATGAAACAAACTTTTAAATGAAAAGAATTATACAAACAAAAACTTAGAGCCTAATTTATATGTAACAAAATCAACAATTAACTGGTCAACTCGGCCAAGGCATCATTCTCAATGGAGAAACTCTTCATCGACATCAACTCTCTCTTTGTTAAATTAGCAATATTATTGTCATTATCTGGAAAACATGCATCTTCATGTAAGTGAATGGCTTACAAAATTAAGCCACAATGTACATTTGTGTACAGACTTGATACACTGGCCAACCAAGTTTACGAGATCTGTCACAAGAAATTTAAGTAATTCTATAATTATACAGATTAACTAGAATGCCAGATTTTGGTATTGTCAAAAAAAAAAAAATACTTTAATTCTTTAAGTTAACTGGCCAAGATCTGCAATCCTGCTATTTAGGAACTTGACGTTAACGAACTAACCGTCAAAGTAGGGCCAGTGCAAAAAGTCGAGCAATACATAAATCAATAACAGCTTCTTGGGTATTGTCAGGAAGATTGTTTCGAGGCAAAATCGACATTAATTTTTTATACTGTGGTGACAAAATGGGTGAAGTGAGGGTTACTTGTCGGCAAAGACCTCGATGCAGCGCCTCTTGGAGGTGGGCGGCACGGCCGTGTCCAGGAGTTCCACTTTGATCTCCTTTCGAACTTCAGTGGCAGCCCCCGAGGGTGGTTCTGGACTGACTGCCAACACCCCTGGAGAGGTGGGCGGCTTCTTTGGCTCCGTCGGCGCCACCGGCACCACGCACTGGTTATTCGAGTGCAGTTTGATCACATGCTTCTGCAGCAAGAAGTTCCTGGTGAAGGTGGCACCACACAACTGACACTGAAACGGCCGTTCGCCCGTGTGCGTCAGGATGTGTCTCTTGAGGTCGGTCGACCAGCCGAAGCGCTTGTTGCAGTAAGTGCACACATACTTTTTGTACGCCTGCAGCGCCTCCTCGTGCTTTGACACGGCCGAAATTGTGGTCGTCGTCTGCTGCTGCTGTTGTTGCTGCTGAAGCTCAAGCTTCTCATTACCCTCCTCCATGGTCACCACACAGAAGGTCAAGGGGTTAAACTCATCCTGAGAAGAAATTTTAAATGAAGATAATTTGCAATCTTTGTAAAATAAATTTAAAAAATATTCAATTATTTAATTTAATTGTGGAAATATAAATTAGTATTTCATTCTTGAATAAAAAAAAAAAATAAATATACTTTTTGGGACTCATCGTCTCTTTTTGGCTCAGGCTGTTGCTCGACAGAGTTGCGCTTCCGCTTGATTTTCAGCAACTCTGGCAATTTTGGACGCACCCTCCGCTCCTCAAGGGAAGGGCTGGATCTCCCTGGGCTGGCAGACTCAAGCATGGCATTGAAGATCTCACTTCGAGTGTCGTCAGATTCGGACGACGCAGTGCTGCCATCGCCACAATTATTGAGGATGTGTTCAGCAAAGTGCTTGAGCAGGGAAGAGGCCGAGCTGAATCTCGACTTGCAGTCAGTGCAGCTTAGATAAGCCAAAGGGCCTGCAAATGTTTTAGACGAATATGTATTATTTTTCATGGGGTGATTTATTTATTTTATTATTATTTTAAACTAGCTTTAAATGTTTTGAGTTTAGAGTATGCCAAAAAGTGCAAATTCAGGATAAAAAGGTGGAACAAGTTATACATCAGCCGAGTGACCTACTGACGAATCCAAACATAAAAACAGAACAAAGTTATCACCTGCGATGGCCTGCATGGCAGTCTGGGAGAAGAGGAGCAATTTTCGATGAGAAACTTCAAGTCCAAAAAATCACTGAAAAAGTAGAGAAAAAATGAGAACAATCGCTTGGATGCAGCTGGTCCACATTGGAGCCGATTCGTATCTAAAGTGAAAGTGGACGAGGATGAAGTCAACCTCTTTTCCTGTGTCCACCGCAAGAACGAATTCAGATCCAATGCGCGGAGACACTCCACTTGAATAAGTTGAATTTTTAATAGTGAACTCAGAACAAACTCACTCTCATAACCACTAGTCCAGGTTTTGCTCCTCAGTCCCAGTTTTAAAATGTGCAAGAAAAAATACTGAATGTCAACAAAATTCTGCCATTTCCACCATTACGACGAGTCCTAATTTCTCAGCCGCAGAAAGCGCGCCAAACGTAAAACACATCTACCTAGGTCTGCACAACCATCAACTCGGAAGTCTCGGAACCTAGCAAGGTAGAGACGAAATTGGTAGATGAGTGTTATTCATTTGCATCTCTAATAGCTGTCATCTTTGATTGTGCGCAGTGGGGCAAAATGCTTTCCTCCTTGGTAGGTCGGCGGTCGGCAAAAGTAATAAGAAACTTCCTTGAAACTAGTAACTCAAAATTTCGGCACTGATTTCCTAATTCTGGTAGAAATTATTTATAAATTACTTATATAATTCATTTAAAAAATCTATAACCCGTCTTGTGAACGATTCATTTTATTTCAAGTTTTAGTTATAACAAGTTTATGTAATTCGTGAAAGCTGCTGAATCAGATTTTCCTCCGAGTCCAAGCGCCATCTTTTTTGGCACCCACCTTGGTGCCGCCACTGCCGCCGACAATCGCCCCCCATGTGAGCCGACTTGCACGCAGTGCCACTGCAAGCGGCTCTGTTTTCCTTTCCTTGGCTTTTCGGATGCGGAGAACGAATCGAACACAAAACTTTGACTTCCTGAAGCAGTGACGTTAAACTTTGCCGTATGAAGGTAAAATTATCACGAGTCAATCACTTAATACATAGCAAATGCAAATTATGTTTGCAAAACATGTAAATAAGGCTGTCAGGCTTTAATTTTTGCCATTTACGCCGGGCCAGTTCCAGCGGGGGCGAACCCCCTTGCACTTGCAGAGTCTGTTATGGCCGCCAATTTGCACGGAATTCTAGAATAACACCGCATATACGTTTAAAACACGACTTTGGTTTGCACCCGCAATTTGTGCAACAATTGAAAATTATTCAGTGGTATTGTTCTCGCATTCTTTTTAGGTGAATTTTATGTATTTGACATATTTTGAAAGCACTTCAAAGATAAGCAAATTCAGGCTAAATTTTTTGCTGCGTTTGTTGTTAGGTTCAGAGATTGTCGAAAAGTGCACTTCAAGCAAAAAAATTTTAACTCTGCAACTCAACCCTCATGAGTAAAGAATTATAATTTTTTTATAATAAAACTCATCAGTCCGGGTCATTAAATTAAAACAGTTCACGTTATTTATTTTATCTAGATTTTAAACTAATTATAAAATTTGACCTTGGAAAATTTTATTCTTCATTTTTCAAAATATCAAAATCTAGAGATTTTAGTTTCTTATTTGCAAATATTATAAAAGACAAGAATAATACTAGATATTTGATGAGCACCTTGAGTAAAATTTTTAAATGAATTAATGCATTTGATTGTAAAACAATTTTAAAAATCTCAAGGGTGATTTTAATTATCAGAAATTATTTATAATTATTATTGATTCTTCTGATGTTTAAAAGGCAGTATATTTATGTAGTACACAATTTTGGAGTTCAGAATAAATTAAATTGGTTTAATTAAATATTGTTAGCAAAATTATTTAACAGATCAATGTATATCTTCTATATTCCATTGTTGAATAGGACAATTTTCTTCATATAATGTTGTCGTAGACTGTATGATTTTATTTTTCGATTTTATATATATATGAGACGAAAATTAACCATAAGTCTTATGTACTGAATATTAAATTGACTTAATTCCAAGTTTCTAAGTATTTTGCAGTATCCATTATTTCACCGAGCATTGTTGATCATGTAAGATGCATAATTAAGTTGCACCTTTGTTTTGGTTTCACATTCATCATAAGAGGAACATTTTTGTTTACATTCAGTAATAATATGCGGTTGGCACCAGTCTTTTGGTTCAAAGCCTCCAGTCACTGTAAATTATAAAGAGAAAAGTAAAACATTTTTCGAATAAGGTCGTTTCAGATGTATGACGAAATTGAAAATTTACAGTGAATTCACTAAATTGTTTTAATTAAATTCGCAAATGATGCCGTTAAATCACGCTATTGAAGGTTAAACCCCCAACTTCAAGTTGGAAATTGCAAATTGCAACTTAAAATTATTCCAACGTATGATTTTCTGTTAGTTGCCCAGATAATATATAAGGGCAGGATGGATATTTCTGGGGGTCCATGGGGTTTCGGGAGCTCGCAAAGACATGGCAACCCGCTATGACTGTCCGATCTTGGAACTATCCTATAATTTTTTGATGAAATAAAATCCGGATTCCTCGGTCGAGATGAGCAATTTCATTGTTTCTGCACGGTACAGAAAATCCCTGCTCTACTAGTTTTGATTGCAGGTTGCAACCCCAATTCATGAGCTATTTTCTCGTTGGAATACAAAAAAATAATTATCGTACGGCAAAATCAACATAATGCACTGAAAGTTGAGCAATTTTTTTATCTTTGTGTTTACTTTTAATTGTTACATGTCAACGTTAATTGTCCTGAGTGAGATCGGGATAAAACCTTCAAATAATTGCCCGTTAAGGTATGCAATCAGAAAATTAAATAGAAGATTGCCAAATTTTAGGTCGTTCAAAAAGGCACAAATTTTCCAAACGATTTTTTTTTTCATTCTTACTGGTTTTGCTTCATGCCCCAAAAAGGGTCAATTAGTAAAAATGTGGGAAAGCCGGTTACAGTGGTCATAATAATACAATTATGGCACATTGGCCGATTCGTCATCATGTTCTTGATATGTGTTTATAATTTCATTATTTTCGTCTGACCAAATCAAAAGTTACAGGCGATTTTTTAAATTTAAATGGCATAGATTAACCAAAAATTTAAAATTAACAAACAATTTTAACATTTTTACAAGTTTTTCTAATATAATTTTTTTTAGAATTTTATTTCGTCAGAAAATAAGCGTGCAAATTTTGTTTGGAGAAAAATGTGCACAGCTCCTTCCTTATTTGCTTTTTAAAGGCTGGATTCCAGATTCCAGCATGGCTTTTACATTACATAGGGTGTACCATGTACAAAACGTATTATCCTGTTGTAAACCACATATTTTTTATTCTCATTAAATGGTATTTCTATATGTATTCTATAATTTTGCTAGGTGAAAAGTTGAAATGAATGCCATTGCAAGCATTCATTATTTTCACACTTGAAATTAAACCCTCATTTTTTACAACCTTCTAATATATTATTTTTAAAACTATTATTTCACCACGTATTGCGCAGTTAAAATTTGTCGCCATAAAATATAAAATATACCTTCAATGTTCCAGGCGCAATAGCAGTGTTCAGTGTCAGGAGACTGCTGCCACAATGCAGACATCAAAACTGAGAGGTAAATTCATTAGCTTTTATTTCATACTTTTTACTAATATTATATGGAAATGGTGATTTGAATTTTAAATCTGCTTTTCCTCGATGGGTTTAGTGAGTAGTTTATTGGTTAAGAAAAAACAAATCCCTGCATGCACAAGTCATGAGCTTGTATATATATTGTTGTTTATTCTACTCAAGTCATACATGAAAAAAAATTGATTTGAAAAAAATGAGCAGAAAAATGAGCTTGTCTCAAATTTCTCTGGACCTCTGCCGAGAGAGATCATGAATTATGACTAGCCTGCAGCCAAAACATGTAGAGATATTGTTTTTTCTTTAAATAATAACCAACTCATGCACCAAACCCACTGAGGAAAAGCCGGCTTTAAATTCTAATCACGGTGAATCAATCCTCGATCGTAACACAAAATTGCCCGTATTGTTTGCAGGGCGCCACCGAGGCGCAAAAATTTCGCCCCCCAATGAACGTGACAATGAAAGCAAGCCCAAACCAGGTACTGCAAAACCAAGACAAACTTCTGATGCTTCTGAGATTCGCAACATACTGGAAGAATCTTTCAGGGAAAAATCAAGTGAAAAGCTGTCCAAGCGCTCCTCAGCTCGGGTTAGTCTATTGAATCTGATTAAAAATTAAGGTCATGTAGTTTATTAAAATTTATTTTAATTTGCAGCCATCGAGAGAACCCACACCCGAGAAGTTACCTGCCAGGGTCACTCGTAGTTCCTCCTCTCTGAAGTTGCCAAACGACACTAAAAAAAGCCAAAGCAAAGGCACTCCTAAGTCAAAGCAAAGTAAGAAGTATTCCTCTAGCACGGAGCAGAGTCCACCTCAAAAGACCGTGGAAATAGAGGTCATCGAGAATATAAAATTTATAGCTTCAAAGAGCTTGAAAGATCTGGAGACGTTTGAGAAGACCAAGGAACCTGAAGCACCTTTAGTACCAGATGTGTCTACAAAATCTGTGGAACCAGAAGATCCTACAGAGGCAGGCAAAGTGTCTGTAAACACCAAGAAAGAGAATATTAGCATGGAGGTGGAAGATAATATTGAGGCAGTTTCTACATCCGTTACCACTGCTGGATGGAGAAGCAAATTTACAGGAGCATTAAAAGGTATCCTTGGTTTCGAAAAAACTACTATTAGTGCTCTACGCACTACCAAAGATGGAGTGACTAAGGAGGAAATATCAGCAGGGGAAACTTCATCTATGTCAAAAGAAAAGGAGGGCCCAGAGTCTGCAACTGGTATAGTGGCATTAGATGAGAAAGTGAAAACTGATTTCGACCAGCGATGGAAATCCATTGCATCTAAAATACCACCTAATAGCAAGAGTGTAGAGGCTAATGTTCGAACCATCAGCAAATCCGATTTAAAGGAAAAAAGAATAAATTTGGAACACTTCCAGAAACGATATGATGAGGCTGTTAAGGTTCGAAAAGCTCAATTAAAAACTTTAGTGACAAAAGATGGTACATTGCCTACGTCTCGCTCGTCTGGTGAAAGAGGTGAAGGATTGGGAAAGCCTGAGGAAGGAGCCCAGTTGCCAAAGAAGAACAACAAGGATTTGCAGAAAAAGGATACTATTGAATCTGGTAGCCACGCTGCAGAAAACAATGGAATCTCCATAAAAATTGCTCAGGGTAAATGCATCCTGGTTCCAGTGGCAAACATGGATGCCACAAAACATATTCTGCAAAAAGAGCTAAAATTTTCATCAGATAGTTCCATTAAAGATGATACTTGTAAGACCGTTGTTGAAAAACAAGATATGGCATCAGACGTTAAAGGTCCATGTGCCCATGATAAATCAGTGGGAGAAAGTCGACCCTCTTCCAAATCTGTAACTGCTGCAGTTTTTCCTCCTAAACAAGGTGGAATAGCCAGACCAAATATCTTGAGAAAGAGTATTCCCTCTGCATCTAAAATGCCAGCCGAAAACAAAGCGTCTGCAATAGATGGCAAACCTGCTGTTATTGAGTTGGTACCTGACAAACTTAAAGGAACAGAAACATTGGGGACAACGGTAGAAGAAAATAGAGTTTCTTCTGCAAGCCCTGAGGAGATAAAGCCTGAGGTTGAAGGCGTAGATGCCAAAAAGGAGAAAGAAACGACCCAAGTTGAAAAGGACTCGTCTTCTGCCATTTCTAGAACGCAAAAGCCTGAGGGTGAAAAGGAAGAAGCAATTAAGGAGAAAGAAACTACCCAAGATGAAAAATTTGAAAAAGACACTACAAAGCCTGAAGTTAAAGAGAAATTAGGTAAAGGTAAGAAAGAGAAGAAGAAAATCATAAGGAAAAGATTAGCAAGACGTGCATGCAAAAGCAATTCCCTCCACGAGACGAGAAGAAACAGGGCTGTCATATCCTACAGGCTTCTCGATGCTGGAAAGGTCAATCTGGAGGATGCCAAGCCAGCAAAATTTGAGACGAACAAACCTGTGCCCAAGAGGAAGTACAATGTGAAGACAATTCCCAAAGCTAAAGTCTTCAAAGAAAATGAGGGCAGCTCATTCAAGGAGAAATTGAAAGAATTGAGCGCAAAGAGACGGGAAGAACTTGCAAACAAAGCTGGTGACAAGGAAAGTCCTTCAAAGTCTGAAGATCCACCAGAAGTTTTGAACCAATCCCAAGCTGAATATGCAGTGTCGGCCCTTTTCAATTACACCAGCAACGCCTCTGAAATTGATGTAGATGAAGAAGATGACGTGAAACAAATAAAGAAAAGACGAAAAGTTAAAAGATTCCAGCCAAGACCAATAAGAAAGGGAACCTGGAGCCAAGAACGTTTTGAAATGTACAAGAACCGAAAAAAGAGAAAGCATGACACTCGCACAAAAGCTGAGCGGGAGCTGAGCCGTCTTGGCCATGTTGTCATTAACATGTCTCAAAAGCCCGTGACACCTGAAGTAGAAGACTCAGACTCAAGTTTTGAGATCTCTCATTGCAAAAAGGCATTCTGCAAACTTGGTTGTGTCTGCCCAAGTTTGAGTGTGCCAATGCGCGAGGAGTTCCACTGTGGCAAAGCTGAATGCATTTTCAAATGTCTCTGCTCCAATGCTGGCGCATCGAATTGCCTTTTTGACAGCAGAGTAACGGAAAAAACTCGTAACCTCGCCCCTGGCGAAAAAGAGTTCATCAACACAGTGATTTCAAAGGGGAGCGAGAACATGGTAGTTGCTGACAGGGGCAAAAGAGAAAGGAAGATTCCGCAGCGCCTGCAAAATGATTTCCTTACAGGAGAAGAACTCGAGACCGCCTCATTTAACCTCAAAAATACGGGACGGGATTCCATTGAAGAAGTTTGCACACCAGCTCGCAAGAAGCGATTGCTGTTGGAAAACTGGAATGCACAGCTTGTACAGCAACAGTCTGACCGGCAGAGCTCTGTGCCAAGTCCTGATTTTTTGGAGAAAAGGTGTGTTGGCAGAGTGAAGTACCATTACGGATCTGAAGACGAAGATGGCAATGCAACTCGGGTTTACATCGACACCATTGAGACATCAGACATTACTTACAAGCGCAAAGAGAAAAAGAAGCGTGGGAAGGGAAATGAATCTATCACAAATGTAATGGCTGATGCAACTGAAGAGGTATTTAATCAATTATTTTAATACACAAATAATATGATGTATAATTTACATCTAAATCGCATTTATTTATTTTAAATACAAAATTCATTTTTTTTTCTTATTCATGTTTTATGTTTCAAGTTCAAGGTAATTAATTTAAGATTAATTTAATATAAAGACTTTTTTTCAGGATGTGACACCGAAAATAATCAGCATTTCATCCATTGCCCCAGAAGAATTTGAGCGAGCTGACAAAATTGAGCCTGTGAAAAGGGAGCTGGAAATCATAAGAGAAGTCTCTATTGATTCGCCCACATCATTTGGAATTGTGGAGGCGCGCCAAAAGGCCAAACTTCGAGCCATGGAGCTTTTACCTCTTTTTAAGGAATCCATCATTGACGCTTATAAGTTTAAACCAGGAATGCTGACTTATAACAAATTCTGCATTGTTGACTGGAGCTCTTTTGTGGATCGCTTCTACAACCGTGATCTCCTGGTTTGGGTCGAGAAAGATGTCACCTCAATGCACAAGATTGCCATCATAACGAAAGACAAAAAGGAGCCTTACCCCAACTTAATTGATGTATGGGACATGGCAGATGCCAAACTACCTCAGGAAAAGACTTTCGATAATTTAAACTTGAACCGGGGATCTCCTAAATGCCCCTTCATTCTGTGGTGCAATGGCTCATACTGGGAAATCCTTGGAAAGCTTTCCAATACACAAAAGGTAAGTTTAAACTGTAGAAAATCTGATGTTTTTTTAATTTTTCAATTTATTATTTCTAGCAGACAAACCAGATGCGCCTTCTTCCTGAGCCCATTGACATCACTGAGTTACCAGTAGAGGATATTGAATCCAAGTGGTTCTCTATTCCTGCAACATTATCAAACTCATTCGAGAAACTGGAGGTCAAAAGTGAAAAATTTATTATTAACTACTTGGCCATTTGTAAGATGCTGAATGTCACTTGGCGCACCAAAAATTCTTTTGTCGCCAAAATACAAAAGATATCTGGGCCCCATGTCCACAATGCACCTCTTGGTTTCTACAGTATTCCATCAAAGACTAGGATCTTTCTTGGCCCATTCAGGAAACAGGAATATCCTCTTGTCAAGCTCATTCCCTATCCTGGAAATAATAGCTCCGGCCACATCGAATGTGTGATTTTGTCAAAGAAAGGCAATGGTTCTACTTTTACTCGGTCACTTCAGAGGCCTTCACCGGTCCTGGTCTCAGAGAAGTCTGTTTCTACTCCTGAAAAGAAATTGCCATCCAATCGCTTCTGGAGTGAAGTTGAAGATGCTGATGTGTCCGAACAAGGTTTCTGGACTTGCAACCGAGAAGACGTGCAAGATGTGCCATTCATCACTCTGTATAATGACAAAGTGAAGATCAGACACCAGCTTGATTCTCAAAATTTGATCTTTGAATCGGCAAAAGGTGTCGCTAGGTTTCTTGATTATGTGTATCAAGACACTTTTGACAAAGACGTAACTTGGACCACAAGGCCGATCATGTCAAAAGATATTTTGTATGACTTTGACTACCTCAAGAACCAGCAGGTAATAGTTTAAAATCAGTTAAAAACAACTTTTATAAATATTTTCTTTTTTTAAAGGGCATACATATCAGTGATCCAGAGTTAAACCGAGTTTTGGGCATGGAAGTAAATGGAAGACCAGTACGAAAGCGCAGTACACCGAAAAGGCTCAAAGAGGATGAAGAGAGATCATCTTTGGAGATTGCCCTGGATAGGTGGGAATCGTTTAAAGAAGAAATGTTGGACACAGTAGAGCTTGGTTCTGAAACCTCCGTTGAGCCGCAGAGTTTAGGAGAAAAGATTGCCACGGCATCTTCTTCGAGTGCTAAAGTGACTCTAATCTCAAGTCCTTTCAAAGAAACCTCTGCTGGCAAACTGCTGAAAACTGTCCTTGCTGATTCCGCGTCACTAGATATATCTATAGTTAAAAAGAATGCGCCCTCAGAAGTTCCTCCTGTTGTGAACCTGGCTGACTCGCCAGTAAAGGTAGATGATGGATTGGATCAAGACTCCGAAGCAATGAAGCGAGAGGAGGACTTGCTGCAGCTCAAACAACAAATCAAGGAAGCTTTCCAGGTTGCTGGAAATCTGTATCCAGCTTTTGAAGATGGCAAGCATTCAAGATCATTCCTCCTTCAAAGGGTATTTTTTTTACTTTATAATATTATAGACCCTTATAAAATTAATTTCTTTCAGATGAACAATGAAATTGAGCTTCTGAAACTGCAAGAAAAAGCCCTGAACGATGCTATGGAAGAGGCAAAATTAGAAAAATCAAAGATTTTCAAGAAATTTTCAAGTAAATGAGATTTTTTATTTCATAAACTCTATTCATAATGTATCAATTTCTTATTTTAGGTTTGCCTAAAAAGGACAGGAAAAACATCCTTCTAGCAATAAGGAAGCTGAACAATCCTGCAACAGAGGAAGAACCTCCTAAAAAGAAGATGAAAGATGGCAGTGGTGACACCGAGCTGCAAAAACTTGTTTCTGAGCAGGCTCCTCAAGAACCTGCCTATGTGAAGGCTACTCAAGAACCTGCCTATGTGAAGGCTACTCAAGAACCTGCCTCTGTGAAGGCTACTCAAGAACCTTCTGCGTCCAGTTCTCCTAATCATAGTTTTTCCGGTTTACATGCTGTCAGCGAGCCAACCATCACCCCCTCAGGTCCTGTGGTGAAGATCGTGAAACACAGTGCCACATCAAAAATTTACAAGTTAAGTGGTCCTTTGATGCGGCAGATTCCACAGAAACTTGCAGTACCTAAACTCAATGTGGCACACCCAGCCACAGTCTCTACCTCCAATGGCTCCAGTAAAACAACCATGATCAAAACTTTTGAATGCAAACAAGGAAATCAAATTATCAGATTTGTCTCGACAAATAAACCGTAAGTACTTTGATTTTAATTAACAGTTAATTGAAAAAAATTCTGTTCAGCAGAGGAGAGTTCATTCGCCTCAACAATTTGATTGCTACCTCAAGTGGTAATGTCGCCAATGTCGGTATCATCCGCCCATCACTTGCTATCAAATCTACTTTCATGCATGTTGGAGGTAATTTAAAAATTTCTAGATATTATTTATTTTCCCAGTTTAGTATGAATTAAAACGGACCTAATATTGCTTTACAATAAATTTAGTTCAATAGTTATTGGTAGTAATTATCTTTTCTAACTGTAATTGATGTTTTCAGGCTCTGCAATCATTTCATCAACTGCCTGTTCATCGGCAACAATCTCCACCGCAACCGTCAGCTCACCCCTACCAACTGTTGGCTCACCCCTACCAACTGCTGCCCAAATCAATGTTCCAAACTTGAAGCAGGTTGATGCCCAAATTCCTGCCTTGAGCATCAAAGCCTCCGTGCCCTGGGTCAAATGTATCTCCTCGACTGGTATTACCAGTGACGATAAAATGAAGATTGCCAAGGACAAGAATGTTACCCTCAATACTCTCTTGTCCGCAAAACCAGCAGCATCAGCAGCTAATGCTGCAACAAATCAAAAAACAAACAATACTGATGGAATGCCACGGCTCATTCACTGCAACCTAAATCAGGTAATTTTTTCTGCTTTTTGTTTGTAAATATAAAATATTTCATTCAAAAACAATAAAATTTTAGGTCCAAAGTTCTCATCATGGCCTAGTCAACAGCGAGCCTCCTTCGTTGACAAGCAACGAAGGTAATTATTGTATTTTCTTATGATTTAAAACAATGTTTCTTAATGTCCCGTAAAATAGTAACTGATATAATTAATTCAGGTGTTCTATCAAGACGTAGAAAGCTTACATCATCTTACACTGCAGCTGCTTTTGAGATGGCAGTGCATAGCATTGTAGAGGAGGGCTCGCCAGTGTTTCGGGCTGCACAAAAGTACGGCATTCCAAGTCGTACTCTTTATAACTATTTGAAGAAAACCAATGAGAGGGCTAAGAATGAATTATATGATGAGGTTGACATCTGCAGCCAAAGCAGCAGTGGTAGCTCTGTGGAAATGCTGGACTCGCCAAAAGCTTGAGTGTTGTGCATGATGAAATTTCTACGGTTGTCGTATTTTTCGCTTAGTACTTGATTTGATTATTGCCTTGTGCAAATCAGCTTGGATAAAATTGGCTTATTTTATAATTAATTTTAATTTTATACATATTTGAGAAACATTGCAACCAATGTACCAATAGAATTATAAAATACATTTTGTTGTCTTTAGGTCAATTTTGTAACAACTGCAACTTTGAATAAAATGATTAAATATCATAAACATTAACTGTTGAAATTTGTATTTTTATACTATCTTAATCAAGTTCTCATCTAATTTGAAATAAATAATATTTAGCAATTATTATGGTTTACAAGCTCAGAATAAAAATTGTAAATTGAAGCTGCCAAAGCAATGAATATCTTTATCCCAGGAAGGCAGCGCTGTGCATTAGGGAGGAATGGGTGCTTCTCAGCTGGCACTAATTATGCGCTCAATATTCACTGCAAATGGTTCATCGCAGCGTTGCGCAGTAAAATAAGCCACTCATTTTTTTCTGCGCACGAAAAACTCATGAGAAAAGTTCCAAATGAAGTTGCGCTATCATGCTGCGTTGTTTATATATTATTTTTTTCCAGTGGTAATCACAAAAAATGAACGGGCTGCACAGCATTTTTTTTCTTCTGACCCCACGGCTCCTCTGCGCTCCCTCTAATACGCTGACTCTTTTTCAACCCTTTTTTGTGCGCGCCGGTGGGTCTCCCTTGCGTTTTTCTTGTCATTGTTCAAGGGCCGTGATTATGTAGATTTGAAATTTTATTTGGCATTGCATGGTTCATTATTCGGTTTTTGAACGTATCGTTGTTCGCTAGTCTTAATTAAACACAGTGAGCTGTGGGAATCTTTGCCGAGTTTAAGAAACTTATTCTCGCGAGCTGCCAGAATGAATAAGGTAAAGAAAAAATAAGCCCCCTCAAAAATAATATAATATATATGGAAAATAGATCTTGTGATTAGTAATTATGTTAATTCTTCCCAGCCGAAAACAAGTCTTCGATCAAATGTCAAAATAGTAGCTGGGTGGTATATTTTTTCTAACTTTTTTACTTTCCTTTTTTTTGGCAAAAAAATTTAATAAATTCTTCAATGAAGACCTTCTTGGAAAAAATGAGATTTAAAAATTACTTTCACCAAGATTAAAAGCTACAATTTTTGTAATACAGTAAATGTACCAGAAGATTTAAAAAAATAAACTTAATTTGCAGTGATTTGCAGATCAGTCACTCTTCAATTCTTTTAAATCAACTATATTGTAAAAGTTTCTATCATTTTATGACTACATGGTAAAAAGAAATTTAGTAAAAATGTTGATTTGAAATATATATGCAATATTTTCTATGAGTTATGTGTTAAATAATTGTAAGATTAAAATTTACAGTATCGTTGTTTTTAGCCCCCATTCTCAATTTGCCCAATGATTGTATTGATATTGGATGACAAATAAATCAAAAACTACAATCTAGATTTGAAAATATTAATTCATATGTAAAATATTTCATATGTTCCAAAAGCGTGGCAAATTTTTGTTTCACATTTGAATATAAACAATGTGATGTAACAATTTAGACAAATGAACAATTAATAATAATAACAATAAATTGATAGTTTTAAACACCATTATTAATGATTTGAAAAATGGAAAAGAATAAGTAGAAGTGGGAAAAATAAATTTTGGAAGCAAAATTTTCAAGATTAAATCAATCTGTTAATTTAATACAGCAAAATCTGATTAATTTTTACGTGAGTAATAAAATCAATTATTTTTATTTCCTTTAAAACGCATGCAATGAACTTTAATGTATACGACATTTTTAATGTTGTTTATTTGTCCACATTTTCACAATACATTGTTTACCTTCAGTTTCTGTAAACAGTTTTTACAAAGATTGTTCTGTATTATGAAGACTATTAAAAAAATTCTGAAACTCAAAACTTCAGTTGTCGCGGTCTTACGTACCAGAATAAGAACCGTCGACGGTAGTTGCAAACTCAACCGTGCAGGGGCGCTCGACACCCGTCGAGACTCCGCCTCAAGTCTAGCCGGCTCAACATGTGGCTGGGACAAGCCGGGGGAAGGTATGGGAGGTAAAGCGAACAGACCGGCAGAAGTAAACATTCCAAGTTGTGCAGTGCACGTGCGAGGAGCTGTCCGATCCTGCACCATGGAGAATTCGCTGCTGTGCACCGAGAGTCTGAGCGTGAACCGCGGAGGACACGACCCGGTCATCTTCGCCGACTCGCGGGTGCTCGAAAACCTGCTGGCCGAGGAGGGCCGCACGCTCATCGAGCAGGACTACTTCAAGACTGTCCAGAAGGACATCACCCCTAACATGCGATCTGTCGTAGTCAGCTGGATGATGGAGGTGAGAAATCGTAAACCACTCAAATTTGACCAACGAAATAATATTTTTTTACTTCAATAAATGAAATTACTTAAATTTATTTATAATTTTTAACAATAATTAGCTTTAACTAATTATTCTGTTGAACAAATGTAAATAATTTTTGGAACAAATATATGTTTACATTTTTATATTTGATCTCATATTAGAGTTGAATTGCTGGCATATTTTCCTTCAAAATCCCATCCTACGCAATCATGTATTTTCAGCTCCTTATCTCTTGAGAACCGGCGAGATTTTCTTTTATCGCATTTGAATAATTTATCATTCTTTTCGTGAACTAACTGAGAATCAAGTGCCGGATTTTCCTGAACGGAAATCCAGCAGTTGTTTTTCACACTTTTAATCGCTCTTTTAAATTTTAATTAGCAACAAAGTCTGCTGGCTCTGATTATAGCATATTTTTTGTACAATGTATGATTTCGTTCAATGGCAAGTGTGGTTGCCAAGGCGTCTTTATCGGTCAATTAGGTCAAAGTGCATGCGACAGGAAGCGATTTTGGCCCGCTGCTCACCGAACGGTCACCCTGAAAGAAGTCGCATGCATTAAAATGTAAAACCTGCATTCAAATTTTTGATTTTTTTTTCAAACTAGTATGAAATATTTGCTACGAGCCTGTTTCGACTTTGGTATATATACGTACGGTGAAAATTTTTTGTTGCACTCTCTCGGCCCTGTTAATGACTGATAAGAGCATCAGGTAGATAATTATCGAAAAAGGCGACTAGATAATTTGGCAAAGCAAACGTTTACGGACTGTCTGCATGAAAAACTGCGAATTGCGAAACATTAGGCAATCAAAGGGGTGGTTTTGAGCAAATAATTTTCTCCTTAAGATTTTTTTTATATCATTGTAGAAAAATTTAGTTTTGTCCAGTTTAATTTAAAATTTAAATATTTACCGTGATTATTTTACTTGTTTTGGATTTCTGATCAATTTTAAGTCTTTGGTTTTCTTCCCCCACTCCTAAATGTCACCGATTGAAAAATATGCATCTTTCCGTGATAAATTAGTATATTTGCAGCTTATTGAATTAAAAAAAAAATCAATTTAGATTAATTCAGATTTTTAGCTTGTGCGGTCTGTTGACGTTTCTGCAAAATTTTGGCATTTTTTGTTGACAGGTCTGCGAGGAGTTGGCGTGCGACACCCTTGTATTCCCTCTGTCGGTGCGGCTACTGGATCTGTTCTTGGCAAAAATCGAAACACCAAGATGCAACCTGCAGCTCTTGGGGGCCGTCTGCCTGCACGTCGCCTCCAAACTCAGGAGCACCCAGTTGATAGCCACAGAAACCATGGTCTACTACACAGACAACAGCATTCAGGCGGCTGATATGAATGTGAGTACAACCTCTTTTTGAACATTTTATTATTTGTTTAAGTGTCATTAATATCTCGTTTTTATTTAATTTTAATTTAAAAAGTTTTGGCTAAAAATGAGATGAAATCTTTAATTTTTTTTCTGTAATCAAACCTCTCAATGGGAATGAAATTAAAAAAAAATTTATTACTTTTCAATTACTCTGTCAGATTACTTTTGCTCTCGTTTTCTTCTTTCCCTTTCGTTTTGCGCACTTGAGCGCGTATTCAAAACCCGACGACTTTCAAGGGCCACTTAAGAGCTTCTTAATTGCAGTCTTGAAATGCCCGTGTTTTCATTTACAAGCGCATTAATTGTGTTGCGCGCAATAATAAACGTGCTTAATGAATAGCCGGCCGTCGTGTGATATGGGTCTAATGATAATGTATTCGCGTCCGAGCACCTCGAGGGGAGGAGAAATTATTTCAGCCAGAACATTCCATCGGCGTCTCCCCCGGGAAATAAGAAGCGCTATGCACACAACATATAGGGGTGAATTTTTTCGCCAAGGTCTAATGCGATAATTGCTCGGCCGGTCACTTAAGGAAAAATACAAATCGGATCAGATTTTTAAGGGGGTTGAAATTATTAAACGTTTTAGAAGTTTGGAAACAAGCAAAAAAAAAAAAATGTAAATTTTTATGAAGTATTTTTAAATTTTTAAATAATTGAATCAAATTTTATAACTTTGGAAAACAAAATTTAAAAAGTTAAAATTTATTGAAATTCAAATCAATCCGGAGATTTGACCTCTGCGGAATTTGAAATCCGTGCTCAGAGAGCGACGTGTTATGCAAATCGGCAGCACATTGGATTGGCAAGGCCGGCCCGGTTACCAAGAGGAACGAGAGTCTGCGTTCATCCCAAGCAACAGCAGGCGGCTGCAATTCATTCATTCATTCTGCGGCTCGCAGGCGCTTAGCTTGTCATTTCTAAAAATAAACACCCGCGCCGCGCTGGAGACATATTCATAATTTGCCATTGTATAACAAACGCCTTGTGCGAGCGGCGGGAAAGTGAGCAAAAGATTTTAGGACCAAAAAAGTATGTGTTGTACCTTCAAAGTTGGGCCGCCGTGCTTTTTTTCACGTGCAACTTTGTCTGCTGATGGCACTTTAATGGCGTTTAATTAAAACGGACTTTTTTGCCGCACCCGTGCACAAAAGCAAGGATCTGTTCCTTTCACTCGCGGCGGCGGGGATGAGCGCGACGAAACCACCCTTTCGGAGACGCCGCGCTGGACCGTGGGAAGGGTTAAGCGAGAAAAAATGCACGACAACAACCGCTCGCAATCATAATAAACAAACGCATTTTCTACTCGCTCAGGACGAAAATTAATGCGTGCATCTCCTCTAGACATTTCCTCTGAAAAAACGCGCTCTCTTATCACTCACGACAACCGCACTATTCATTTTCCCGCCGCGGTGGCTCGCTCTCAAATAAATTTTCTCTCAATGGAGCAGATTCTGAATTAAGAAGCGCTAGACGGGTTCTTTTTCCCTCTGTTTTTTGTTCCATTCAGATTCCTGCGTGCACTTGACCCCCACATGCGTTGGAAATCACATTGCTTTTCTAATTAGACTCTAATTGTTTGAGACGGTGCTGGAACAAAAAATGCTCATGTCCCTTGGCTAAAATATCTGTGCAGCCGACCATTCATTTTCTTTAACTATGAAATTAAAAAATAATAACAATGGAGGATTCATTCATTTTTTTTTTGTTCCACGCTGTGGTCTAATTAAAATTGGAATTCACATAAATTAACTTTTTACTCATAGTGCAATTTCACGTATGGAATTCATATTTGAATTTTTTTTTCTTTAATTGAAACTCCAGCAGCACCACTATAATTTTTTTTTACACATATAGGAGATTGTATCCGACCCCTTGGAATTTGCATCGTAGGCGGATTTTTGTATTAACAATGGTCGACGATTTTTTTTGCGAAACTGGCGCCCTGGCATTGGCTGGCCGACACAATGGGCTGCTCCTCGGCGTTGGATATTTGCGGAGAACAACCTGTTGATTGGGAGCGCGCGCAAATTCACCTATGGGAATTGGCGCATGCAGGAGGAATTCCACGGTTGCCGCCGTGTGTAGCCTTCTGTAGTGGAGGCGAAATACATAATCCTGGCCGGCCGGCGAGATGGGCAAATAAAAGCCAAGGCCACATATCTATGCGTCGGTAACGAAGAAAGAGGAGCAGAGTGTTGGGATGCGGATAGAGAGAGAAGAGCCTTGAGAGAGTCAGCAGGAAGGATGCTAGAGTGTCAGCAGCTGAATATTTTATCAGGCTGCCTTGTTTCAAGCATCTTCCTCTGCGCCGCGCGAGAAAAAGAAATTACTCGGTCGAATTTTAATAAATAAAATTCCAACGCGCCCCCGACGCACAATGTGATGATGCGGTGTGCGGCGGCGGCTAATTCATTGATCAGTCGGCGCGGCCTGGGAATTCTCCTGCCGATGCACCTAGGTTCATTTCAGATTTATAGGCGGCCCGTGAATGGAATTCTTGCGGCGGTATTTTGATAATGATGGTGCAGGGATGAAAAAGAAAACAGCCCGGGCCGCGCGCTCACAGGTATTAAGGTGCCGAGGAGGGCCCCCTGATAATCGAGAGGGAGATGATGTTTTTACAGCCAGAATACACAACCTTTTCTCGGCCTTTTTATCTCATCTCTGGAGCCGCTCTCCCGCCCGCTGGAATGTCTCTCTCGTCTGCAGCTCTCTCAGAAAATTATATCATGCATAAAATCTCTCGCGGCCGACGAGAGTAAATATTTTCTCATCAGAAAACCAGAGAATTATTTAATAGGTTGGATGCATCTCTTTCTCATACATAGAATTTTCATTCATACACGATTCGTGAATTATTGTGTTCGAGAAACACTTGTCTGTGTGGGTTCGGTTCATTCTTCTTGTTCCTTGCTTTCAGCCATTTTGGCCCCACTCAGCGCGCCGCTCGAGTAAAGAAAAAAACGCGCGCCCGCCGCATGCGAAAATCCACGCAGACTCGCCTCAAGAACAGGTTTTATATGTGTGGTGTGCGTTTTATATATATATGTATTCAAAAAAGATGACTGGCTGCACAATAAAATATTTATTGAAAAGAAAAAGGCGCAGAGGTGCCATTTCCGGCCAAGTTCATGGGAATTCGAGGCCGCGGCTCCGCGAATATAGCCCCAGCGTAATCCAATACGGCCTATTTTGAGTCAGCTGTTTTCGGCTCATCGGAATTTAAAATGCAGAAACGCACTAACCACTTTTATACTAACTCTTGTCGTTTTAATTGCTCCGCATGCTTGTTCGCAAGAGGGAAACGGTCTCGCGGTCGTTTTTAATTTGGTTGCAATACACAAAGTGCGTATGTCCTGCGAGATGCAACCTGCGATAAAAAACAACCTGCTCAAAATTCGTTTTCTCAACCGCTACCGCATTGCATCTGTCGCCTTCTGATGCATTTTAATAGCCGGTTCTCATTGTTTTTCAAAATGTGGACTTCCGTGCGCCGCGAGAAAGCGAAAAGGGGTGAAGCTAAAACTTGTGAGAGAGCGCTGCAGATGATGGCACACCACACCACCCGTCTGAATTCATTTGCGTACTAATTAAGATGACTCGAAGATTATCTTTACTCTTGAATTATTTAAAGTTTTAATAAATTCATTGATCAGTGTAAACGAAGAACGTTATACAAATGAATTCCACAATTATCATGAAACTCTCAAAATTCATTACATTGAATTTGAGACATTTAATTTCCTTTTAATTTTAAATATAATTTTATTACATTTTAAAATTTAATTTTGGAATTTTCCACTTTCGTCGGAGCAACAGATGGAATTAAGTAAAACGCAAAAACCAACTCACTCAGCGTGACCAAAAGGAAATAGCTAAAAAAATACAAAATAAAGGGTTCTCGGGGGCGCGTGCGGGCGGGGGTCTTTTTATAACGCGCAGTGCGTTTCTCTCGGGGCGGAAGGAAGAAGAAAGCGAGTCATGTGTTGCCGGACAAAGAAAAGAAGAGCCCTCTTGGCCGGAAACGCGGCCACTCGGCCGTGCATGTTCGTATTTACGCGATCATTAGCTGACGGCGCATGAGATAATCATTCGTCTTGCTGCTGGTCGCGACGAATTATAATATTTGTTCTAATTTCTGGCCGAGTCGCGGATGCGCCCCCGCCGAGGCCCAGGTGCCTCTCGATACATGCAGTAATTTGTCTCACGGATAATTCACATGTTGGAGTGTTCAAGTGTGCGTGCAGATATTCGAGTATGAGTTGCGAGAGCGGTGACGACGACGTAGAGGAGCCAAGCAGCCATAAGGGCCCCTCTTGGGTGAATTCAATGCTGTTGCTCTCTGCGCTCTTATCTTTTTAGTTAGAAGTCAAGTGCTGTTTTTCGCAGGCGTCAACATTCTACGCGCGTGTATTGCACTGAAAAATCCGCACAAACTTTCTCCCTCGGAAAACATTTAAAAAATCCAATTAACTTTTAAAGTTATTAAAAAGAATAATAATAAAAATAATACAAAAAATGTCAAAAAGTTAAAATAAAATTTAATGAAAATTTAATTTTGAAATTTGTGTTGCAGAAATTGGAGTTGATGCTTTTGATGGTGCTGGGCTGGAACGTGACCCCGGTGACCTCGGCCGACTTCGTCGAACACATTTTGTCCAGGGTAGCCTGGTCGTCTGAGAAGAAGGTCCTCAGGCAACACGCCCACGTTCTCGCGCAACTCTGCTGTTCCAATGCTGGTGAGTACCAAAATTTATTGCCACGAATTCTTTATTCAAGAGAGGCACACAATTTTCCCTTAACATTTTTTGTGCGAACAAAAATTTGAATGGCCCTCTTGGAGGCAGCAGCGTGCTTAGGCTCTTTTTTATATTATCACGTGCGGCACACTTCCTTCCTTCATGAAGAGCACAAGAATTGTCTTTTAAAACACACTTTGCCTCTTCCGAGATGTTATCTTTTCCGACTCATTTTGACCTGGTGCTACCGAAAGACAAAAAAATAAAAATGAACAATGGACGGACAAAGGACAGGATGCAATTTCTTGCTTGGACTCTTTGGAGTTTCTTTTTTCCTCGATAATTTTTCATATCATATTTGACTGACAAATGAAAGAGCTGCGCGAGTCAATTGGGCTTGAGCACACACACACACACACACACATGCGACCGACTCCCCGCAGACCTCTCTTTCTTATGTCGCATGTGCAGCCAACATCCAGAATTTTTTGCTCGCGCACAAGTCGCTGCTTCTTGTGTAATAATTAATAGCAAAGGAAATGCCATGGCAGCAGATGACAAGTTTGGAGAGCGAAAACTATATGGAATTTTAAATCCTCAATGGCCCGTGCAAAATTTTACTGCTGATCAATATTCAGACCGATTCATCAGATGCATGTGTGAGAAAAACCAACAGAACCCTTTTTACACGTTCGCTTCTAAATAAATGATAATAATGTGCAAATTAGACACACGGAATAAATATAGCCGCCGATAGCGCACATAATGACATCCCTTTTGCTTTTCGTTCCCGCCGAATCAAATCAATAACCCGTCAAAGGGGTGCTTTGCGTCGCTCAGCAGGCAGGGGCGAAACAATTTTCGGCTTTCTCACACTTAACTGCAGTGTGAATTATTTCAACGGCGGGGGAATTTCTCTTCGAGGCAAGGGCCCTAGACTTATAGTCTGAAGATTGTCTCAAAAAGGGCAGGTGTGATTTTTGGTAGTTTCTCAAGTTTTTTGCTCTGCCTCGTTTGGGACGAAATACAATGACGTTTAATGCACAAACCCTGCACCCCAGCATAAACGAGCGCAGCCAACAATTGAGTGCTAATTTTGAGTGAATGCTGCCGCTTTCATAACTCTCACCCTATTACTTTTCCTTTAACCGAAAACTTTTTTCGTCAAAATAAAAGCTCTAAATTGTCGTGAAATTTTTATATATATTCCGCCGCCGGGGAAGCCAATTAAAGCTTTATTTATTCGCCACCATCTGCCCTTCAGATGCTGCACCGCGAGAATTGGCCTTAAAACAATAAATCGCGAATTTGATCACGCCCTTCCTCGGCGGGAGATCCGATTCGCCGTGGCGAGACTGCACGCGTGTTATTTGAAAAAAGGGTTGCTGTCAGCGGACAAAAGTAAAAGTGGTCGAACTCTCTCATTTATTTGGGTTTAACCGCGTCACTATTTGTCTCACCGGCGCGCGGGGATCATGCAGCTCCGCGTCATTTTTCGCCAGCAGCTGCCGCGCAGATGCAGTCTGCCAACAATTTCTTCGTTGCGCCGAAAATTGCAGTAAAACACACCCTTATAAGAAAAGATGTGCAGCCCTTGAGGAGAGAGCAACGGCCCGTTCGAAAAAGAAAAAAAAGCCTCGTACTGCGCTCCTTACATACCTGATGGCAGATGCATTTGCATTTCATTCTTTTGATAATGCACCGCGGCTTTATAACCTGCCACTCTCTTCAGACTGCTTTTTAATCAGCAGCTGCCCACCGCGAGATGGATGGACGGACGGTCATCGGGCCAGTTTTTTTTTACGACGCGGTTGACAAACTCGCCGGCCGTCGCTCGTATTTTATTGCCTGGGCACACAATCGCAGCGCTAATTTCTGACGTGTAATGCCATTTCAAACACCCCTCGCGACGTATTGCAACGCGATCGACACATACGCGCGAATAATGGCTGCCGACGTAAAAAGTTCTGCCATTTGCGGCTTGTTTAATATATTTATATGCACCCTTTCGATATTGCGTTGCCTTGCGCAAATATATGCACTCATTCCAGGTATAAAAATATATGCGTGCTGTATTTGGTTTAGTTTATGCACGCGGTGCATTTTTATGAACTCGCGCGCGCTTTGTGTACTCGGCGGTCGTAAATTTTCCAGAGCCAACTCTGCAGAATCTGCCCTCAGCCTCTAACGTAATACAAAATACGTGCGGCAACTAAACCGTGCGTTCAAATCACCAGGAATTTTTGCTTCAAATATTTACTTTACATTTAAATAGCTCAAGAATTAATTAAATTTATTTATATCATTATCTCAATTAAATATCCATAAGTTATTTAAATGAATTCCATAGCTATTTAATGACCTATTTAAATAGTCTGGCCTTTTAAGCCAATACGCCCTTTAAAAACCATCTTCTGCCCATTTAAAGGCACCTCCTTTAAATGCCCATTTAACTTCCCGATTTAAATACCCAAAAAGACAATATGATATGCCCATTTAATCAACAAGGTTTTTTAAATTTTAAATAACCATTTATCAGTTTTTTAAAATTTTAATAATTTAATTTCTTCAATTTATTAATTTATTTGGTGCATTCCATCCTCTCATTAAAACCACCCTTAAGCGCGAGCGCACTTGAATTGAAGCTCACCAGAGCGGGCACTTATTCAAATGAGCTGTCCAAACGGAAATTTCATCCGACGAGGTGGAAGCTGCCGTTCTGGCTCATTTTTTCACTCTGACCTCTCCGGTTTGAGTGACCAGGTAAGAGGGGCACGTGCTCCCTCCGTCAGCCAAAGGGTTAGCCGGCGCAGGGATTAAATGGAAACCCCGCGCGCCGGCAGCTTCGGTGGCGGCTTCCTGCGGAGAGACAATAGCTCGATTGTTTGCTTAGCAGGCAGCTGACCGCACTCGAAAAAGCCGCGATTAGCTGACGTCACACGTATGCTAATGAAATGAAATATGAATTTTCAAACATATTGTGTTTGCTCATATTTCGTGTCACGCTGCCGAAATGGCATAACGAAGCGTGTGCAGTGTCAAAAGTGCAGTCATTCGAAAGGGTGGTCCTCAAAGGGTGGCCCATGCTCGGTGCTAATTATCCAGCTGAGGCCATAATTTATGCATGACGGCTCTTGACACCCCCGCACTCTATTCATCCCGGCGAGGAGCAATAAAATAAAAAAAAAACAAATAGAGCAATTTAGGAAGTTGTCGGAGTCATCTGCGGACGCGACACCATTTGTGCGCGTGCCAATTGGAAAATTAATATGCACTCTGGGATGAATCACCTGATGTGTATTATTGCTTCATTTAAATACATCCGCTTTTAATTGGGGAACTATGCTAACAAGCTCTCTCGGACAGGAAGCGTTTGAAAATCGCATTAAAAGTTATTTGTTTCGTCCGGATCAAAAGTGTTTTCGTTTTGGCACAGCACCTTTCGTCGCGGTACATAAACAATCGATTGGTCTTTTCTAGCCGATCGGCGGCTAATTACGGCCATAATACGCGGATAATGGAGTTTGATCGCTCACATATCATAACTTGCATTTGTGATCATCCAATAATTATAAATTTTATTATTTACGGGCATTGCTGCGCATTGGGCACGCGTGCTTCCCCCTCGGAGGGCACTCCCCCTCACACCCTTATTTTTATTGTGATTACCTTTGTGAATGCACCCCCTGCGCATACCCCTATAGCGGCATACAGCTGCCTTTGCATAAAACGCCGCGGCGGCTCCAGCTGCCTGCCATTGCCCCCGTCCGCGCGTTCGTCGCCCCCCGGCCGTCCGGATCTCTCGGGGGGCAAAGGGGTCCTTTACGTGCAGAAAAAATGTACTCGCGCCACACAATTGATAGGTTTATGATCGAGTTTTACGACCTACGGCGCGGTGCGGTTAAATAAATTTCACTCGGCAACCAGCAAACCCAAATGCACGTGTAATTTTATTGGCAATCAAACGAGAATTAATTTTTATGCGTTTTCGGTGCGCAAGTGGAGTGAAATCTCGCGGCACTAAAACGAATCGGCTTTGCGAAAACAAGCTCTTGAAAAATCGTGTCGACCGGGCCATCAAATCTAACCCTTTCGAGAGGCGCGACCGACTTTAAAATCTATAAAATTCTCCAATAATACACACAAGGCAGCCATACAGATTTCGGGGCTTGTTTTTTAACTCTATATGAGAAATTGACGCTCGGGGTGTGTGATTGATTGGAAGAAACGATATGCGAACGAACTAGGCAGATGTTGGCCGTGTTCTTGTTTTTCGACTCTCTAGCTCTGTGAGAGGCAAAAGAGGTGCGACTGATACCTGATCCACCCCATTCACCGTGCCTAGACGGTGCTGTCCATGTCTTTTGAAGTAGTCCGGCTCGCAAGATGCGAAGCAACCAGTTTTCATCTCTCTCGCACCCTTTGCTTCCCGACGTCCGTTATAATATTCTCCTCGGCGACATTAGCATAATATCAACTTCGTACCCCTCTAGACACAATGCGTGCACTCTGCTCTAATCTCAAACATATAGAATATACACTTGAAATGATAATGCGCTGCGTAATGGGGTAAAAGAAGCGACAAGTCTTCTCTCTTTCAATTTCCTCAGCTATTTCGGAAGGTGCAGTCTTTTTGCAGCAGGTGCTGCCGAACGAGTTTTCCACCGGGACAGTTGAGAAGAAAAAGGGAAAAAACGTCCCAGATCGAGATTTTTCCATTTTTCTCATGATAAAATTGAACAACGCTCGACTATATATGCAAAATTCTTCTTTCTTCCCCTCTGATTTGCTTTTAAGATTTGAGAGCCCTGCTTTCATTATTCAATTTTTATTTCCTTCGAGAGCTCTTTTTCTTTTCGCCTGCGAATATAATTTCGCCTCTGTGTGATTTCCCGACTTACCCCTCTCTTACAAAACCAACAGCTGTCGCGTTGCGCACGAAAGGAAATTTTAATAAACACGGCACAAAAGAATTTGCAACGTCTTGATTTTTATATGTG